TATGATGCTTATATTATTCTGTATATACCCTTACTTTAGTAGATTAATATTATTAGAAAATATATATTCTGAAAATCTATATAAGTCTCTTACTGCTATAGATACTGCTTTAATTTTAAAAGACCTTCAATAATTTTATACTTTAGATATTATCTCTAAAGCTCTATTCAAAAAAAATTCATTATATATTAACTATTTTAATATATATAATTTCAGAAGTTATGCATTGGCATCTTCTATCCTTGAGCTGCTTTGCTCTTATTGGACTTAGTCTCTCTACAGCAATGTTCCCTCTTGAACATGATGGTATTAAATCCTCACTCATAATATAGCAATCCACAAGTTCTAATAGTAATTTTGGTTTAGACCGTGTTATACCCTACAAAGGCGAGACATGCAATACTTACAAAGACTGTGAAAGCTGCGGCTTCTACGAGCGCTGCTGTTTCAAGGGCTGGAAAAGTGGAGGTGGTGCTTGCGTTTGCGGGACCTCAGGAAGAGAACATTGTTGTGTCTAAAATATTAAAACTACCAACTTCTATTTAGTGGCGCGTCTTTTGAGTGTCATCTACATCGGAAAAAGACAGCAATGGCCAGCCAGCTTCGGGTGGCCGATATAGTGAGTTTGTGACATAAAATATAATATGCATTGTGTGATACTTCATTGATCTTGTAGTGAGACTGACATCCTCCTTGGTCTCGAGCCATTCGATCTGGCACGTTGTGCTTGGTTTGTAGATATGACTGTCACAGATTGAATAGTGATTCGACCTGATGACCGTACAGGATACCATGACCCAGGTGCATAGACAGTCAGCCACCGATGAGGAACATCAGGCCATACGACGGTTTGATTTTCAAGGGGATTCTGAATCCTTTAGGCGTGGAGCCTTCAGCTATAAATTAGCGAATCGCTAGTAGTAGTAAGAGGTCAAGAATCAGTCTCCCGTCTGAATAGTATCTACTGCCTGTCTTTGATCTTTACCTCTCCTTTAGCCTACGTATCCTTACCGAATTGACAGACCTTCTACTCTGAGTAGTAGATACCCTTGACAATGTCTATATAAACAGAGATATCTTTGTAAAGGTCTCAGTACAGTACCACAAGACTTCCTTCGAATTTGCCAAGCGACGTCCACCCAGTTATTTATCTTATATAGTGTTATAAATATACAGAAGTAGATCGTCAACAATGAGAGACATATACTCGGATGCTAGATACGAAAAAATAGTGTGCAGCTTTTCATCTGAGTCTTAGTATGCCCATTTGTCCACGTCGTTACCACAAATTAGGTAGTCTCGCTAATCTCGCTCCAGGCTGGTGCTCTTGTCAAGTGGAATTACTCTAACCTTTCCGAGGCCTGTGCTTCTCAGCAAGCTGGGTGTTGTACTCTGGTCACGCTGATCTTTCAACAACAGAGAAAGATCAAGACAGTGGCACAACATGAGTAAAGGCAGCGGATCAAGCTGGATGATTGATTTAAACAATCTTTAGACCTGGGCTTCATACTTAAACTGACGAAACACATTATATTGATACAATCCTTAAAAACAAAGGCCAGACCTCACAAGTAAGCTTGCTGTTATCTGATTAGTTCTTGTTTGTTGGTCAGCACCTTGCTTGCCTCCCCCCATATGTTCCAGAATGTCTCCTAACTGCTTTCTTGTAGTAACTGTATCATTTTAAATTGACTAGAATGGATCAAGCCTGCTTCCTTTATCTTCCTTTTCATCATTTCAGGCCCTGCAGCGTGCGCAGCACGCGTCTTACAGGTGTTTTTTTAGGAAGACCAAGCTTAGACAGCCACGAACAGTCTAGTGCATAATGCATGATAAACTACTCTCCATACGGTTTAGTGAGATATCTGTGATAGGTCTATTGTTGACAGAGTGGGTGTTCTCAGTTGGGATCCATTCTACCAACTATGCGCTGCACTCTTCCAACCACCAAGAGCGAAAAGCTTTAGAAATTACTTTTAGCAGTTTGTTGTGGACACAGACTGGGACGCACGCAATACCGTGAGGCCTGTGCCACTACAGCTGAAACGGCCTAGGGTATAACGCGTAATCCACCCTACCTCATGTGGTTTAACTTATCACGCGCTATAGAGCTATGGTTGACCAGAATCCCAAGCCGTCGTATCGGCCAACGCTGCTCCATTAGAGAATTAATGTAGCATCTAAATTACGTCCAGAAAATGTTTTAGTGAGCCCCTAATAGGCAAGCCAAGAGGTGGCTTGTCCCTTCGTCTTGTTGGTTGTATCAAATTGGCATGGCCATATCTACACCCCATTACTTTATCTAGACAGCTTTGGTCCAAATTTGACCATGTCCCCGCCATAGTCCTAGCTTTGGCCTGTATCTTGCAGCCATTGGAAGGTACCTGGATTAATATTCGGCCCAGAGACCACAAGCCCTGTACAGTATTTCCCGTCTAGTAATTTAAAACCAGGTGCAACTCCACTTCTCCCGCGAACTTTCTGGCATAGTTTTAGTGTCAGGACTATGAAAAAGGTAAGCTACTACGTTTTAACTGTAGTACAATTATAAATCTAAGATACTGAGCTGGTAATAGGATTCTCATTGCCATAAGGTCAGCTTAGCTGTACTAGCCATTGAGTCAGGGTCTGGCGGCTAGGCACGGATTGTTTTATTTCAGAGAAAGATAGATTGTTCTTATTCACTTCTGTAAATTTGAGGGCTTATGTACAAGTTGAACAACAGCTTGATTGGAAATCAATCTGATTCTGTACGGAATTTATTCCGAATATGAAGCTCTATAATTTACCTGATTGAGCCTCAACTCTCAACAGATAATATCCCGTCGTACTTCTATTCCAAATCAATTGGCCTTTCGCGCAAGAATCTAAAACTGCTCTCCGGTATGGAGGAGATACTTCGGAACTTTACCAAAGGGATCTGTAGAAAAAAGCCAGGAAAACAGCGGCCAGCGCGCTTCTTAAAGCGCCATCAAGATGATATTATCTCGCGATATACTGGAGCAATTGATCGAACAAGAAAATGAGCAGATTCAGCATATAAATACTCTTTATACTTTAATTATACAGCTGCTAAAATGGACAAATACAATATAGAACCGCAAAATATCTACAACATGGATGAGAAGGGATTTCTCATTAGAATACTGCCTAAAGACCGGAGGATCTTTTTCTAAAGCAAAATATAAGAGGGAGAGCTCTCTATAATATTTGTAAGATAGTAATTGAGAATGGATAAAAACAATTATATATATTTGCGCTGATGGAATAGCTATAGCGCCTGGTCTAATCTATCAAGTATTCTCTAGCAAAATCTAAGATTCCTGGCTTTAAAATTTTGATAAAAAGCTTTATAATTGCTTCTTTACCTCTTCAGAATCTAGATAGACAAACAATAAGCTTAGATATTAATAGCTTACTTCTGTTTTTGACTAAGAAATGAAGCCAAAGGCAAAGTACAGTTAAAGACTTTTATTTCTTGATAGCCATGGATCCCATGTCATAATGAAGTTTTTAGATTTCTGTAAAGCAAATAGGATTAATATAACTTATCTATCCCATTTAACATATTCTCTGCAGTCACTTAATGTCAGTATCTTCTCTCCGCTTGCTAAAGTATTTTCAGACAAACTGGAGTGATTCTGCATTAACCTCAATGTCTCTACAGTGTTATAAAGTGAGACTTCTTCAAGATGTTTTGGCCAGCATAGCAGAAAGCTTTAATATACAAAAATATCTAATCTAGCTTTAAAAGTACTGGAATATGGCCATTTAATCCTGAAGCTGTTCTATAACAATTCCTGTTCTCTGGAGACCAACGGCCAATATCTAGCAGTTCTTATCTCTTCTCTAAATCTGATATCACCATTAATAACTGGCATTTTATCCAGCGAATAATCAGATCTACAGTTGTCAATTACTATAATGAAAATATAAAAAAGCTTTCTTCTATAATAAACCAGCTTTCCACAGAAAATGTTCTACTAAGACTAGAGAATACTGGCCCTAAAATAGCTTTATCTAATAAGAAAATAAAGCGGCAATGTGCTAAATCTCTAGTATTTTAACTACAAGAGCCAGACAGCGGTAGTATAATTTTTTACTTACCTAAAAAAAATACAGCAAGCGCGCGAGCTTCATGCAGCGAAAGAGCAAGAAATAGAGCTTACAAAAGCTTTAAAAGAGCTAGATCAGCTTTATTAATAGCATGCTAAGAAAGAGAAACAGCAATTAGTTCTAGAGAGAAAGAAAAAGGTAAGCTGCTGATAAAGTTCTTTATAAGTACCAGACAGGAAAAAAGAAATGTTAAAGGATAGAGCAAGCTAATAAAGAGACAGCATGGCAGCTTCAAAATACCTTCAAAATACTAAAGTAAGGTCAAAAGAAGCAATCTACAATAGATACTAGTCAAAATACTACAAATATTACTTCTATAGCGCATAAAGAGTCCTCTAAGGCCTCTGTACTGTAAAGTCATCGCGGCAGGTAAATACGCCTTCTCCAGCGCTTCCACGACGCCTAAAATTTGTATATAAATACTTTGAAACCTCAAGAACAGTATATCAAAAAATCTCTTCAGAATATAAGTTTTACGTGGTTGAATAGCTTCATATGTTGCCTCGTTCTCTAGCTTCAGAGCGGGGCGTTGGTTGGTAGCGGGCGTTGGGCGGCGACTGACGTTATACTATATCAGGTGAAGTCAGAGTATCCTTTGAATGTCACCTAAGGCTTTGTATACTCCACTTGGAATTCGTTCCTTACAACGGTGATAAGAGATTACCGGTAAAGTGGTGGAGCAATCACGAATCAAAGCACCATTTTATGCGGAACGAGTCATTAGGAAGACACAACACTATCCAAAGCCAAATATGAACCATACCACCTGCGGAAAAGCTAAGAAAAAAAAGCCTAGACAAGGCTGCGTCAGGTATAGACATAGCAATATTCACAGTCCATCGAATCCATTACTTCCCTAACCCTCCTTGTACTATCCAACACCCCAAACTCCATAACCGTGTCAAGAGTCACCAACGGAGCACTCGGAGGGTCATAGATAATGGTCGTGCCATTCAAGGCATTTCGACGATTTGGACGATCCTCTCCTTGCCATAGACTCCACAACCGATCAATCATAGCATGATGAAGCATGAACATGGGATCCTGCGGCGATATAAATAAATTCGCCAGATCCCCTCCCACAGCATGGTGCCCGCCGCCATGCAAACCCATGTCATCAAACCCACTAGGCTCCATAATAGTAAGAAACTCTATAATATTGCTGGAAGCTAGTAATTGATCGACAACGGTCTGGTTATTAAATAGGGCCACAATATGTGGGTTTAAACTCCGCGTTAAGCAGCGTGGTTTATAATCGAAGGTATTGGGGGGAAGCGACGCATACGATTGTATCAAATTTTCGTCGAGTGGCGCCATGTGCACCTGGAAGTTGGCGAATGGGCCCGATTCCACACAGCCGCCCCCCGTGCCTCGCGGGAGACATACACCTTGCGAACTGCAAGTGCGTACCTCTTCTGCGGTGTAGGCCCCATTTCCGGAGAGGGACGTCGCGTTACCATTGAATAGGGGACTGCCCAACAAGTTGTATGCGTCGAGGGCCCAGTTCCAATACCTGTGCAGTAGTTTAGTGGAAGATACAGTCCAGATCGTCGAGATCACTCACGGAAGGCTGCCTCTGTACCCACATTCCTCTCGCAGCGTTGCTTCCCAGAGAAAGATGAAGTGGCGATGCCAAGGAAGCAGAAGGCCGTTTTGATGGATCCGGGTTGTGTAGTTGATATGTGTGCTGCGGATATTAGATATAGCAACTTATGGGTCTTTGAATGTTTACTTACGCAACAAAGTCGTCTAATCGGTCTCGGACCCCGGGGAATTCTTCGTTGGGGAGGGAGGACGGACGTTCGCGAAGGCAGTATATCGCATTTATATACTCCGTCCGCTCAGTATCGTCTAATTCTCTCCTGCGGTATGTTGGAAACGGGAATATCCGGATGACGACGGTGGAACATACCATTCCTTCCTTGTTACCACTTTTTCTGGGCTGCATAATCCTGCGGATGTTGAGGCAACACAAGCGACGGTCAGTATGACGAGGAAGTTGATGAGCGACATCACTCTAGCTGTTGAGGCACTGTCGATCGAAATGATATATTGGTATTATTAGGCCGAGATGGTAGATCTAATATTCTGACTGGAGGCCAGCGACTGATCGTTCTATCTTGAATGCTATATATCTGAAATGAAATTTTGTTTAGAGTAATGTTGCGTGTTAAGCAGAAATAGACTTTCCGATCGTATAATGCCGCTCCCACTTCGCGTAGACAACCGGCGATATATATATATGTTTAGGCCGGCGCTAGGCTGCTTCTGAGTAACCACTTCGTGTAGGGTATCTTGGTTAATCTGATATTTTTCTGGACACGTATTGATCCCTTGAACTATATTATATGGACCTAGCCAGTCAGGGAATGGCCCATACATTGTCCTGGTGACTTTGAGGATCAAAGGTAAGGACAATACAACTAATAAAAGTAACAGCACGCACCAGGGTATAGGCTGGCTGCAGGGTCCAAGTGGCTTTGCTATATGCCATGACTGGGCTCCCGTCCCAGGGCTCAGACGTATTTGCAACCGCGAGAGTTCAATCACTTGAGTTGTGTAACAAGCGAAATAATATCCGAGACGAAATATTGGTGTTGATTCTGCTGCGTTTATTTAAGAAAACGAGGCGTAGTGGATGCTCAGAACTTCGCTTCACCTTTGGAATCGCTGAAAGCTACATATCACGACTAAGTATCTCGGTTTCTGGAGTTTAATATGTAGTACTCGCTTGTGTTTGCAGTTCCAGTACATATACGAGGCCCTGGAAGGCAATTATGGCCCTTGCTTATGCCGTCCCAAGGTTCATGCAGGAGGTTCAGCACATGACCACGTGGCGTTCGGGATCTGATGCATGAGCTGACTCTGCGTAATTCCCTCTGCTACTCACAATGTTAGATATTGAAATACGACGAGCTTTTCTTATATGGATTAGTTACTGTCTGACACGAAGACGACGTAACGCGGTCTGTACATTGAGTTGAGCTCGAAATGGGGTGTCTGCTAGATTATTTCGATATATATCTTCATGCAAGGGCCGCTGTATCATGAGAAAGGGTGAACGTAATTGACTGATGCGGGCGACAGCTGGAGGAAAATAAATGCAATTCACTGGTTTATAATAGTACCTGATGTTATGTTGTAGGAAAGGTAAGCTTAGTCTGGTTTAATAAATATCATCTCTGTCTGGCTTGGTCAAACTTGTTTCTATCCCATTATTAGCTATCGGCGATCGGGTGTTCGATATCTGTTACACCACTGGCAAGGGTCCTGCTGCAAGCAGAAGCAACCCATGTCCATGAATCTCGTGTTCGTATAATTGTGATCCAGCGCCACAAGTGATGTTGCCTAGCTAGTCTGAAACACGATAGTAATAATTGATCGGGTAAACGCTGTCCTATTGAAGAGGGAGCGAGATATTCCGGGACCCTCCGGGGCGCAGATGGGCTGAACGTCTCGAAAGCCACGGGAACTCGAGATCGGCTTGATCCAGGGCTTCATATTGCCGCCTGTGTCCGTCGGTGGTTAGCAGCAGCATAAGGCGGGGTCTTGCGAAGCTGAATTTGTTAGCGATTACGAAGTGCGTGTTGCTTATTGGGCCGATTTCAAAGCCGTGGTGTTGATGTCGCTTTCTGGTCTTATTTGATTTGGGGTTCGTTGATTGTTTCTGGTTGTGGCTGGGAGGTTCTTATGGTTGGTTTTTTGGTGAGAGCGGTGGGGAGGATGAATTGGAACTAAGGGGGGATGGTTAGGGGTGGGGGTTGATAATGGATATTTACTGTGCGGAGGCTTTGCACTATGCGTACTTTAAGCTCGCCGTCGATATGTTCGATGACCTCTTGTTAGTCGTCATAGAGGACTAGACCGGATTTGACGACGGCGTCCAACTAGGAGAGTATGAATGATCCTTTGGTTGTGGAATTGGATTAGTCGCTTCTAGCATTATGACTGTTGTCGCTGAATTCGAGAGACGTGACTTGCTACGATGCTAGGAAGTCCAGTGTATTGGTACAGCTGGAATGATTGATAATGATGAACAGGGATGGTGAATCTAAGGTGCTGGATTAACAGGCGATAGTTAGGGCTAGACGACGAATTAGTAATGATTTGCATAGCGTCATGGAAAATGTAACTGTGTCCTTCTAGGCACTAACTCCTTGGCTGCCCAATGCCATTCTAGGTAATCTAGGGAATATAGATGTGGCTTTAGTCCTCTCGGGGTGCTTTCTAGGCAGACAAGATATTAGGACTATTTAGCAAATTAATAGTGAGTAGATAGGTTGAGTGCCAAGGAACGGAGTTACATTAGCTGTAATATTCTTGTAGACGTTGCATAAATTATTCATTTATTGATTAAAAAAGGGTAATTGGCAAAGAATGTACATTTAGCTCTACCTGTGTTCAGATTGAGCATATTGAATTTGAATAATCATGGTAGAACAGGTAATGGCCCCTCGCGGGTATTACGACCAAACGGACAGCAGCCAAGCAGGCGCACCGAGAGAATCTTCAGTTTCTTTCATTGTTTCTATATCTAATTCTCATTTCACATGTCGTAACTCATAAATACGCAGGACTTTCGTGAGTTTCGTCAACCAGGCGATGATCTCTGCCAGCAGAAATCGCGCCCTATGTCCGCCGCCACAGCGCTCTTTAAAGGTGCAGCTGTCGTGAATAGTGCCCCGGCAGATGAAAGTATGGAGAGCGTGGGATCAACCTCGATACGAGGAGGTGATTTGGTCACCAAACATGGAAGATGAGGAGCAGTCAGTCGAGAGGTTGGTACCCCAATCCGTCGAAAGGCTGGGTACAGAAGCCCCAGACACATGGTCACTGGCATTAGCGTGACTGTTGGCAATTTTATCTGCTAGATGAGGCACATTGGAATACGTAAGGCCCTGGGTTTCCCAGTTTGAGGAGTGAAGCTTCCGTAATTCACGACTGTAGATCGTTCTCGCCGTGGTATTGGTCTCAAGAGGAGGCAGTTGAAGACCTCCGTTGAGAGCGAAGGGAGGCTGCATGCCAAGGTTGTCTAACTGGATAAAGTCGGAGTCTGGAACAGCCTCCAGTCCATTGTCTCGCTTCAAAAAGCTCAACCAGACAGGATTGTCCGCACAAGTCTGGTTCCATGGATCATCGCAGCCGTAGATGACAACGCGAGCATGGTCCTGCATCATGGCGTCTGTGGGGATGACACCGATCTCCAATTGCCGCTTGATATAAGCAGTGAGTTCTTGTTGTAAACGACGCCATGAGTTGGCGTCTTCTTGATCTTGAAGCATGGGCTGATTAGACTCCATACTCAACTCAAGGTCATTCGTGGCATTAGCGGTGTATGGGTTCATGGTCAATCGCTCTTGACCGTTCAAATATGGTGGCATGGCGTTTGCGACCCGACTCTGCACGGAGGGCTCAAATCCCCAATCCCCTTGCCATTGGCGCATGTCTGCGCCGTTTTTGAAATGTTCCGCAAGGTGAGCGACGCGCCCATCCCAGGTGCTTAAGCCGGCGTCGCAAAAACCACATCGTGATTTGATGTCAGTTATGCTACTCTTCCAACTCCCCATAGAGGCATGATTAAATTTGACATTATGCACGAATCGCAAATGCTGGTTGAGATGATCTTTCCGGTAAAAGGTCCGTTCACGCGGGTCCTTCTCCTGGCAGGAAAGGTAGTTGTGAGAGTGTAGATGGTTGTTATCTGCATCAGGTACCAGACAAAATGCGCATACAGTCTTCCCATTCAACGGGACGATGCCTCCAAAGGGCGAGCAATTCCACGTCTCAAGGGGAAGGTGCAATGACTTCTCATGCCGTTGCCAGTCATATTTGGTGGAAAAGGAGTCGGCACAGAATGTACATTGAAACCTACGGTAAGCTCGGGTCTTATTCTGGGCGAACGTATTGGCAAAATTGGTGGGTTTGCGATGTTGTCGGCGTCGTCGGCCCTTTCGCTTCTCTGGTCCCATACCCGCCGATGAACCGTGCGAAAATGCAGATTTTGAAGAAAAGTTGGAAGTAGACGACCTTCCAGTGTCCACACTGCTCACCGATGGGGCAGGGAAAACACCCGAAATATCACAGCTTGAGTCTTCAGTGAGTCCATGTTCCGAAGAATGCGAGCTCAAATGACTCGTATGAGGGGGTAATATCGGGTGGGACTCGGACGGCCGTTCCGATAAAGCCCGAATAATGTTGATGGTTGCAGCAGGTTCGTTTTCAGGCGGCGAGTATTTCCAACGCTCGAGGGGCGTCATCAGTGATATACTGTGCTGGCCGGGAATATTGATGGCACCTATTGGACTAGGGCTGGGACCGCATGGAGGCGCGGAGCGGACCTTGTCACGACGCCTAGCATTTGCAAACCAGGTGCGGATTTGCATTGACTTCAATCCTGTTTGTCGCTTCAGGTCGCGCATTTCTTCCTCCGTTGGGTAGGGATATTCAATGTGTTCATTAAACCATGTTTTTAGAATGCGGACCGTCTCCCGTGAGAAGCGAGCACTGCCCGTCCTATGATTCGAGTCATGACTGTCCAACGCAACGGGCGCCGACAGTTTTTCAATCACTGTCTCGGACAGGTCTCCGGTGCGCGTTCTGTCTTTACAGTCTGAAAATTGATCTAGCGTTAGAAGGTTGAGATCGGCTACAACATCCACGCCATTCATTTCTGGATATTCAGAAACACAATTTCTCCTCCTTTTCTCGGAGAAAAGGCCGGAAGAGGCTCCATCAAAATCGAAGTACTCCATCCAGGGCGGAACTGTGCCTGAGCGATGAGCCTATAGACTAGAGCTGATTAGGTACCACGAGATTGATCGAAGAATAAACTGAGAAGACAGCAATTCTGAGTCCGAAAATCTAAAAGCAGTGAAATGATAGGGAAGAACAAATTCTTGAGTTCAACATGAAAGAACAGTTGGAATAATGATTGCAGATTGACGGAAAGGGTCGGAGATAATCGGAAGTACGGGTCCAGAATAGGTACCCCTTTTCGTTAGAGGCCCGTTTCTTGTCAAGGGACACACGGGGCGACAGAACTCGTGTGTGGTCAAACGGTACATCAGAATTGAGGTTTGGGGCCAGGTGAAGGAGGGAAAATGGAATATGGAGAGTTGAGTTGGTGGAGAAAATCCCACGCCTTAATGTCGACAAGGACCACGCCTTGCTTATCTGGGACTAGCGTCCCCAAGTTTTTATATCGCGAACCCTAAATTCTTCTCTTTTTCCAAGTGGCAAGCGGCATTGCTTATTCATATATCCATCCTATTTGTAGGTTTAAGTATAAATAGTTATTTATACTTAGTTTAAATAGCTCCACATTGGCATACACTTAGATTTCACATTATAAAGAGTAGTCATCAACTACACTCTCATGAGGATTTCATACTTCCCAGTCAGACCCAATATCGTAAAACTTATACGCATATATATATATATATCCATAAATTGAGCAAGCTTGTAATAATTTACATTGAACATCTTGCGAATATTCGTTCCTATTGCGTGGTGGAATTATTGACCTTGTCGTTCCTAAGGCGTGGTGGAATCGATTGTTCGGGACAAGACCGAAACTAGGGTCCGCACCCCGCAACCAGAATATCTACGTAAACCACTACTTCAACTAGCTATTCTCGATAATCATAGATTCCCCAACTACTCAATCAACAGAATAATGGACAAAACAACGCGCAATGTTCGACACCAGCTCTTTCAAATCTATTTAAAGGAGTGTCGACCACCTACCGTTATCGAATTGGCCACAGAATGCGGCCTCAACACAACTGAAATACATCAGATTCTGGACCGACTCGAGGAACTGCATCATATCGTGCAATACAAGCACCAGTCACGCTCTCCAACGCCAATCGCAATGGCTCATCCGTTCTCCCATTTGTGAGTTCCCTAGCTCGAGACATTCAGGGAGCTTCGCTGCTGATATGGTAACACTAAGGCCAACACCATTCGTAGTGGTAAGCGCAGCCATTCACAATAATTACGCACCTTTACTTACAGTAACACTCATAGTCTCAAGGCAGTAGACGCTGGTGGGCTAATTGCGTGTGGTGCGCATTCGGGTTGGCTGCGATGCTGTCGCCCCTGAAAACAACCATCTCGACTCGGTCAGGTTCCATTGGTACCGAATTGGAATTTACCATCCAGGATGACCAGGTTACCTGTATGAGGCATGATGGTGAGCTCGACGTGGATAACTGCCATTGTCACTTTTCTATTCCCCCGGTTAAGTGGTGGGGAGACGTGCGGTTTGCTTGCACTACGATTCAAATATTTGCAACCAAACAGGAGGCGTTGGAGTGGCCTCAGAAGTACGGCTTCTACTCTGGTGAAATTATGACTCTGAAAACACTGTGGCTTCTGTCTAAGGTAATCACAACGAACTGTGACTTATGTGCGTGGCTGATATGATTAGGCATGGTATCATGACAAGCACACGTATGGCTATGACAGAATGACCGCGGAAGAGGTTGAAACTTTGTTTAATCAGCTAGGGATGACTTCGGACTTTTGGAAAGCTCGGTAATAGTCATCATAGTGGTTTCGTACAGGGGCATGAAAGATGGACATTTGGACGTTCAAAAATAAGCTGACATTACCAATCATCGACATTCAATCGTTCGCTTTTAGTCAGACGCACAGAAATGTATCTATTTTAAAAGTAGCTTGAACACACCCTAAATATAATAAGGAGAGAGGAATGATACATATATGGTCTTTGGGCCGTGGCTCAAAAGCAGTAGATAATAAATGTGCCTCGCATGGGGGCGCCAAAAAATATCAAATTAATAAGGCCGATGCTGACCCCAAATCAAAATACTGGGAATAAAATGCAGAGATGAAGTTACCTCATTGATCACTTTAAGTAAAGGGAGAGATAATCTTTGTGACCCTAGAGAGGTGGGCTGGTCATATAGATTGGTAGTTCGAGTAGAGGTAGAGTTCAATTTATAATGACCTATGAGAATATCATTGTTGGTTCTTGTGTTACAATTTTAACATAGCTAGTTAATCAATGTCTCGATCTGAGCCTCTCATAACGCTTAAGTGGTTCAAGGACCCCGCTTTTAACAGATCAGCAAGTCTCAGAATCTCCATCTAGACCTTATATACAACAGCCTTAAGAATAGAGTATGGTTTAATGATATTGACCACGGAGACGAGGCTGGCCCGTTCATCCTGTTTCCCTCCCATCCACGCTTGCATCTTCAACATGGACGGCCGCCTGCTCAACTTCACGCCGAGGATATCTACACGCTATGCGCCGACAACGTGCCCCTAAAGTACGGTCGCCCCGCGCCTCCCTTAGTCCATAAAGACCCAACTGATGGGTGTTCCTGGGAGCTTTCATGGCAAGGACTTCCATAGCTGGACTCAGCTTCCTATTACCTGAGAACAATTTGCAGAGGAGCAAAGTGAACAACAGGAACTTCAGTTTCCTGAATGCGAAGCTCTTTCCGGCACGGCGTAACTGCTTTTAAGCTTGAAGAAAGCTTCTAATACTAACGGCCTATCGATTGAGATCGCGCTGGCGTCCAGCAGTGAGAAATATAACTATGACCTGAAGGTCGGAAAACCTCGGACGAAGAAATTGCTAGGACTTATCCCTGAGAAGCACCGTGTCCTAAGTGACGATCCAAGGGTTCGGAAGGGACGGGGGAAGCCAGCGCCGGATATTTACCTCGTCGCGTTGCAAGAGATAAATTGCCAGTTACCAAAAGGCTCTAACATTACACCAGAGGCATGTCTAGTTTGAGGATAGCTTACCGGGTGTAGAGGCGGTACGACGGGCAGGTATGAGGGTTTTGTAGGTTCTTCATCTCGGATTGTTCGCGGAGATGAAGGAAAAGGAGAAGGATATACTAGTTGGAAGAACGGGGCTGGTGAAAATTGGGAATGGAGAGCAGCTTGGAGCTGTTGATGATGGCTGGGGAGAGTACAATCCGACGCTAGATAACTTCCCTATGAGAGATATGAGATTAAGGACTAAAGATTGTACGGCTCCGAATCAACCCTGACCTACATAATGATCAGAAACAGATGGAGAAGATACTCCTCAGCCAGTGTTATCAGTATAATCCTTCCCAGCTTTCTTATCTATCCTTCGGCTGGCAGTAAGTAATGATACCCGCTATAACCTATAAGAATCCTTCGAGTTGAAATAGCACATGGGGGTATGTGTATTGTCGGGCAGTCGGCTTCCAGATCCTCTTAGGGCGAAGCCATTATATGATCTCCTAAGTTGGATGGCAAGTTTAATGAGGGGGGTTCTCATCACTAGCATTATCTAGATCCATAGTGAGCTTAGGCAACCTATCGATATGCTGGCATTGAAGTGTTATCAGTTCTGGGCTATGTCTCTCCGCAATATCCGCGGGCATCGAGTCCTCCGTGATATGACTAGACCCCCGTTGAAGATAAGGATTACGTTCATGGTCGGTCGGAGGTTGCGGGCAGGGGTTTGAATAGACTTCCTGCATCGATACTCGGAGAGGATCCGTTCTATTTCAGCCAAACGATCTTTGTTGGTGTACATGAACCTGCCCAAAATGGGCAGGCCTCTTCCCGCCTGGAAGGTGAATCACCCGCTGTTCTTCGAATTACCGTCACGACAACTGGATCATGGATCTCAACGGTTATCTACACTAACACCATCATTAGCATATACTGTAGATGATATGTCTAAGCCACAAATGATGGCTGGGTTTCTGCAGAAAGAAGAGGATTTTTTGTATGCAAATATCGACTTTGATAAGCTGCAAGCGCATTGAGGGCAAGTAGTATCACGATGCCGTGGGGGGTTATCAGAGGTTGCACGCCTTTACACTGGAGGTCTATCGGTCTCGGTGTTTTGAATAGAGAGCCTCTAGGCCTGGATTGAGGACATAAAGTACATGATAAATGCTTCGGGCCATTTTGGTTGTATGAGTCTCAGGACGAGTGATTCAACCATTGCTATTTCTGACTTACTATTTCGTATACTTAGTGGACTGATTGAAAAGTGCCTATGCAAAATTACCCAGTACCTGCGGAATTATATTCGAAATCTGTCAGTACTAAAGCCAACAGCCTGTTCCATCCAACAAGACACGCTTCCCATACAATACTTCACATAGTGATATAAATCAACATGCTAAAATACTATTGCTAATGAACACTTGATGCTGCTACTAATGGGCTCCACCATGTATCACAATTTCGACCGATGTAGAGCTTTTCCCAGAATCTGATTAGCCTCTTCTCGGATAGAGATAACAATCTCCCTCGCCGGCATGACCCTTTTGACCAAGCCAACACCTGTCCCAGCATAAGTAGTAAGTCTACCTTCCGGTCCATATCCCCGATCTCCCTTCTCCAACTCCTCCAGATAAAGCTCCCGATTCTCGTCCTCACCGAGACCATCAACCGCCTCTGTATACGTCCGGTTAATAAGCCCCCGCCCGTCGTATGAATCCGGCCACCCATGTATATCGCGCACTTTATCATATATCGTCGTCCGAACCGTACTCACCCCGCCATCCGACGCCCTCAAAACCTCCTTCTGATATCCCTCCGCAATAAGCGACTCAGGGCTGGCCAGAAATCTAGTTCCCAGGACACACCCCTCAGCACCGAGCATAATCGCAGCAGCGACGCCCCGTCCGTCGCTGATACCTCCGGTTGCGACCAGTCGGATAGGGTTCCGGGCTTTCGGCCGAAGTTCCCGAAGCTTATCATGTACCTCAGGGACAAGCGAAACGATACTCGCCCCGCGCGCTAGCGAATGCCCGCCCGCGTCACAGCCCTGCACGACAAGGACATCCGGCGCGACGTGAGTGACCACTTCGACAGCGTCTGCCACTGAGCCGATTTGTACCCAGATCTTGGTCCTCTGAGACGTAGCAGCCCTGATCTCGGTCGCCCAGGTGGCGAGGTCATGGAAGCCCGTTGGAGGAGCGAACAGCCAGACAGCACAGGGGCAGTACTTTCGTAACGCGGGTATGGCTGTCTTGAGGGAGGCACTCCAGGTTATGAATCCTACTCCGACAGGGAGGATAGTTGGATCGGCTGGATTGGCTTGTGCTGGGGTGAGTGTGTTGTCGCCTTTTTTGAGAAGTTGGGTGGCTCCTTCGAGCAGGTCTTCGAGGTTATCGCTTGTGTATCCTGCTGCGATGAAGCCTAGGCCGCCGCCTTTGGAAACAGCTACTGCCAGCTCAGGCTTCGCGACTTTGGCCATCGGTGCTGAGGCGATGAGTGGAGAGGAGGTCCAGGGGTAGTCTTTGTCTAGACTGCTTGCAAATTGGTGGAACGCCATGATGGATAGTATGACTTGTTTTGCGCACGGTAGAAAAAGAGACAAGGGAAGAATTAATGGATAGTTACATTTGCAGACTGGAGGATGTGTATCGCCACACGATAATTTATCCTATCGCCAGGAGATCCCCTGCATTCTTATGGCGTCATGTAATCACAAGGCAAGAGGAGATTTCCGCGGCATTCGCCCGTTACCCCGGATATCGACTCCACCGGTTCCCCGCTCGCGCACAAGGGTATGGGAAAGTGGGGAGGATCCTTTGGAAGACGCAGTAAGCACTTTATTCATCCAGTTTGACGCACGGTGAGGTGTTTGCGGCATGGACTTAGGTTCGCCCCGTCCGCAATATCCGTCGGTATTGGCTTTGACGTATCTGGACGGATCTTGGCCGTTGTATCCGATTCGGCGACCTGTATGGGAGTTCCAAGCTGGGAGAATGTTCTTTATTACGAAGTTGTTTGCTATACTTGGCCGCCAGTCAAGGGTAAGCATGGCTTTGGTCCGCGGCCCGCAATATCCGAGATAGATTCCCATGTTATCAGACGAGGAGATTAGCTATGTTAGACACCAATAGGCACACCGATAACGGGCTCTGGCCACTTATTTAACTGGTCGTCGCGACGCGAGAATTAATAGACCGGGACCTGAGTTGTAGATACGTTGACTCTCAGTTCTTTCGTTTTGCTAGATCAGGACAAACATAGCCAACGCCCTTCTTATCATGGCTACCAAGACAAACAGTCGCCCAGCGACAACCTCTGCTGCTTCAACAGCTACCAACTTCCCCAAGACTCATGAACGGATACCTAACCCTATCGATACAGCCAACTTCATCGACAACGAGTTCATCACCTCCAACACAGTCCAATGGATCGACCTACACGACCCAGCAACAAACAATGTCGTCACACGCGTCCCTCAAAGCACTGATGAAGAGCTTCGCGCCGCCGTCATATCAGCCCAGAAGGCCTTCCCAGCATGGCGGGCAACAAGCATCATCGCAAAACAGCGCATCCTATTCAACTTCGTGCACCTCATCCGCAAAAACTGGGATCGTCTAGCTGCATCAATCACCCTTGAACAAGGGAAAACCTTCAAGGATGCAAAAGGCGACGTTCTCCGCGGTCTTCAGGTAGCCGAGACAACCTGCGGAATTACTACCCAGTTGACCGGCGAAGTCCTCGAAATTTCTAAAGATATAGAAACGAGAAGCTATCGCGAGCCATTAGGCGTTGTGGCTGCCATTTGCCCTTTCAATTTTCCAGCTATGATCCCGTTATGGTGTATTCCTATCGCGACGGTGACGGGTAACTGTCTGATTCTGAAACCCTCCGAGCGTGTCCCCGGCGCGGCTATGATCCTGGCAGAGCTAGCCCGCGAAGCTGGGTTCCCAAAGGGAGTTCTGAACATTATACATGGCAGCGCGAGGGCAGTTAACTTTATCTTGGATGAGCCCGCCATTCGAGCCGTTAGTTTCGTGGGTAGTAATCGCGCCGGTGAGTATATCTATAGCCGCGGCTCGGCGAACGGGAAGCGTGTGCAGGCGAACCTTGGCGCTAAGAACCATGCGATCCTACTCCCAGACGCTAAGAAGGAGCAGGCTTTGAGTGCTATTGTTGGGGCGGCATTTGGAGCGGCGGGTCAGCGCTGCATGGCGCTTAGTGTCCTTGTAATGGTTGGTGAGACTGAGACATGGTTGCCGGACTTGATTAAAAGGGCCAAAGGGCTTGTTGTTTCGGGGGGCTTCGAGGAGGATTGTGATGTTGGGCCTGTTATCAGCCCTGCTAGTAAGAAACGGATTGAAGGACTCATTACATCTGCTCGCGAAGAAGGGGCTTCGATTCTTCTAGATGGGAGAGGGTATGCGCCTGCGAAATATCCGAAAGGGAACTTTGTGAGCGATGTCCACTGAAATTTATGTGTTCACGTTAAGCTAATGGAGGCAATATCGTGTAGGTTGGACCGACTATCATCAATAACGTCACTACAGCCATGCAATGTTACAAAGAGGAGATATTCGGGCCAGTACTTGTCTGCATTTCTGTCAAGACGCTGCAGGACGCTATCCAACTTGTGAACGCAAATGAATACGGAAACGGAGCGGCCATTTTCACCCAGTCTGGTTCCGTGGCATCATTCTTTCAGAAGAACATCGAGGCTGGCCAGGTAGGTATTAATGTACCTATTCCCGTGCCATTGCCTATGTTTTCCTTCACCGGGAACAAAAAGAGTATCGCTGGAGGTGGAGCAAATACCTTTTATGGAAAGCCTGGTCTTAACTTCTTTACGCAGCAGAAGACCGTGACCAGCCTTTGGCGGAATGACAAGGCTGATGTCACGAAGCAGGTTGTGATGCCTTCCCATTTATAAACTATTAAAGGTTTAGGAGAGGGAATTAGGAGGCCAAGTGGGAGAGTGTCATGTGAACGATATACAGAGGTGTACTATCAAAAATAAATGCTATCCAGTTCGAGTTCAAATACACAAATCGTAGCGTGCTATACAGTTCATGTTCGCTATTTGCTCTTCGAGTCTAGCCCTCCTAATGCAATAGTCCCGAAATGTATATATTTTTCTGTAAACCTTGGGAAAGCTATTGATGAAGGTACTGCGTCAAAAGGCTCCTGTCTCAAACAAAGTCACCTTTCGGGCAATGCAAAATTGTGCTGATATCCTATGAGCCGAACAAGAGGAACCATAAACAAGTAAATTCCAAGAGAAATTACAGAGTCAATGGTTTCAGTAGGGATACCATGTTTTACATATTTACTTCACTTGATCTGCCGCAGATACCTGTATAGCTACGGTAGAGACCTGATTACGTCTATTACACATAGGTTGCTGCTGTCCACAATTATCTGTCGCCCGCGCAATGATATTGTGGAGACTGACATTGTGAAAGACAACAGGATGCTGAAACAACTGCCACTCGAACTCCTTCCGCGGAGCAACCTGCGCATCGCGCCAGAAACTTTCGCCATCAATGCTAATCTCCACTCGAGCTATCTCCTCACATGCCCAAGCGCGACCTATAATAGTAACCTCGTGTCCGCAAGGTATAACCTCATCAGGTCGAGGCCGAACGATAATAGAGTTCGGCTCGACATTCCACACCGGCCGTTTCCGTTTACCATCCGGATCATTTGGGTCAATCTCATTATAAAATATAGTAGTGTATGGTCCATCTGCTCGTCGATCTTGGAGAGAGATATGACAGATCCATTTTGTAGAGTTAGTACCGAAACCAACCCGGAACAACCAGGCGGACGGGCCCTCCGCGCTCCTTATCTAAAGGAGCACCATTGATTTCAAACGCCAACAGCACCTCAGGGGCTGTCGCCTTCTCCTGGGGCAGATCCTTCTGATACCGGTCTGCCCAGACATCGGCGAAGACGCCGGAATCGAGACCTTCGGACCAGACGTACGACGCGGAATCGTTGGGTTGTGCTACCTGGAGCAATGCGTGTAGCGATACTCCCGTCCAGCGGACATTACCGACCCGCCGGACAGGGTTTGTAGGGGTGAAAATGGGACTGCTGTAGCATTCGTGGAACGTGGTGATGGATGTCCGTGGCATGCTTAGTAGTTGGGAGAGATTAAGCATGAATACATGATAGACCATCTCGTCAAGGATGAGGCGCCATTGGGTGTGGTCGACTACTGCTGCACCCATGTGAATCGTCTGGAATAATTGGGCGTCTGGCGTGATATCTTTATCAAGGTCGTGGGGCTTGGGGGGATGTCGGATGAAGAATCCCTTGGGGCGCACGTCGACCAGCTCTTTTCGTTCGGAATCTGTTTGGTAGTCGACCTGGCTCAGGGGGGTAACGTGTTGTCGATATGCATCAACATCCTTCTCGCTGATCTGTTTCCACCTGGAAGATAAGTTGCCTAGCATGAGTGTAGTTGATTTAGTCGACACGTGGAGGTTCGTGTGAGACACATTCAGGAAGATGAGGTCGAAGGTTCCTCAGCGCCGTAAAGGAAAGAGACTAAAGAGACTCAATCAAATACTGAAGCAGCTGGGTACAGGGGAACACAAAACCGCAACACACTTCACAAAGTTAGTTCTTGGTGTAAAGTGTCCAAAGCACCGCTCTAAGACGTAGCTCTATGAAATACAAGGGTTGATAAGCTGGTGGGATTTCTCCACAGGAGGAGGCACTGCTTACCGCCCAGGGCTACTAGTCGAGAAGCCCCATTGGTAAATACTCGGTCGGTTATGGATGCACTGATCTAGTGCTGCCATTAACTCTAATATCACTGAGGCGTAGGGCTTCTAGTCTGTGTACCCCACACCCCATGCGAACCCACAGCGGCGTGGAAGTAGTTGACCTTACCTCACATGTGTCGACTTGAAGCTGTATTCCAAAATCCCCGCAAGCCGCGGAGATATCTACCCCTCATGACCAATGGATGCCTTTCTTCTGCCTATTATACATGGTTTCCTCTTCGATCGGCAATCATGTATCTCGATTTCCTATTTTCTATACTTGGTCTCCATTAGGCCTATTCTAGGCACCAAACATTATTATATTCGAGGTTTTTCTAAGGGTCGCAGCTTTATGCTATCGAATTTGATGACGAGGTTTTCAGCCTGACGGTCGTCAATAACATTACGACTGCCAGTTCCGGTGGATCCAAGTGGATCGCGGTGCATGTATGTCATTGTTCTGACTTTGGTTGTTACTGGGACAGATGTATCGCATCTAGGAGCGACGAAAGAATATCTATGTTGCTTCCGGCGCCTCCTAAAATAGCTATGCAATCTCTGGCGACTTCGGACTCATCACCATATCTGACACCTGCCCGTCAATCCTGTCTACCGAACTGTAGATATATTGGGGCTAACGAAGAGCTCAGGTGGTAATCTCAACTACATTGCCCCGTCGTCTTCATCACCATACACAGTCTTCGGCGCACCATACAGTGCCCGCTGTTCCGGGAGCAATCACTGTAGACCGAGCTGGTGCACTCGAAATCATCGTGGGGACTACCACTTACGGAAACAGTCCAGGCGCACATGGTCTGGCCCTCGATACTGATGGCACCTTCATATACTCAGCAGATGACATGGGCCATGCTGTTTAGGTCCATTGGTTTGACAATATCACCGAGACTGTGGAAGTGCAATAATTGCCGCACCGTCCAGCGCTAATACGCGCCACTTGGGAGTGCATCCCAAAGGACATTATGTTTATGTCGTCTTTGAGGAAGCGAACCAGCTCGCTGTTTACACTAGAGACACCAATACTGGGAAACTGATGTATACCATTATGACATAGCCCTTGATTCCATCAGGTATGCAGCTAGAATGTACGCCCTCATTATCCTAGTGCTAGGTGTCCATGCGCGCTGCGAAACCACCAAGATCCATCCTAGACCCGGTATCGGTCTGCGTAGTTTGGCAGCAATTCCTCAGCATTTCCAAGAAATGCTTTCTTATATCTAGACAACATCTCTGTCAACTATCGATCTGGACAGACCCCTTACCAAGACGGTTGATTAGACTGCAGTATTATACCGTCATCTCCTGGCCTCGCTTTCTTCTGTATGGCTTCCACCAAGAATCTATGGGACTGTGTTCTCTTGGGGCCCTCAAAACAATCCAACCACCGAAATCCACTAATAAAGACCGCCACATGCAGCGCAAACATATACGGCTGATTGAGGCATGCATCCCGATCTGTTTCTCCCGATGCCTAGAATATCTTCAGCAGTCACTAAGCCATCATCGCAACAAATCTTCCACCTATATAACGTAATGCTGGTAGCTGTTGCCGGACAATAACTCAGATCTGTCCATCAATTACAGCTTCCAAACCGAGGGCAACTATGTCCCGAGCGACCATGGTTTTAGTACGCGGAGAAGATGTTGAACCGGCGAGAAATTTTTGTATATGCTGGGCGTGTGTTAAGCCTATGTTGCAGGAGGCCATGTTTGGGGAGAGGTTCAATATAGAGCGACGGCGACTAGGTGGATGTTCCATTGCCGTACAATTCTGCTTTTGAAGTAGTCTTGGAGTCCACCCATTTCCTCGGGTGAGAAATTATGAATGTTGCCGAAGAAATCATATGCCTCTGGTAAAGTCCTCGAGGGTTACAAAATTGGCTCCCATGCCCTGTACATAAATGTGTTTTATTTAATCTTCCCGATGCCTTGCCAATTGAAGAGCCTCCCAAGATCTCCCGAGTGGTAGATATTCTAAACCTAGGGTTGAACGTTTTCTTAAAAAGCACCTGTGAGGGAACATGCTTGATCTTGTGGTAGTAGGCTTATCCACTGAGGAAGAAGGCCAAAGCTCTGTTCCGCAGCGAGAACATATGATGAAAGAAGCCGTTCCGTCCCTTATTCAAAGCTGTCTCGTATACAGAAATAGTATATCCAATCAGTTGCCAGAGCTCTTATCACGAGGGTTCGTATCGTCAAGCCGTCCCCGGGGCCAAGTCCGTGCATACGAACTCAAGATAAATAAATACAATGCGAAATGCTCCCAGCCCAAATCTCTTTCCTGTGGTCATCTCACTCCAAACAATCAACATCATCACCACGAAAATGCCGTCCACGTTGAAGCTCGAGTACATCACCTTTGACGTCTTCACAGAAACTCGGTTTGCAGGCAATCCACTCGCCGTCGTGAAAGTACCGCCGTCCATCACTCTAACCCAAGCGCAAAAGCAAACAATCGCAAGGGAATTCAATTACTCCGAGACAGTGATCCTCCAGGAAAGGGATATCTCCACTATTCAGGGCGGAAACACGACCCCGGAATGGAATATCGGAATCTTCCTGACAACTGCGGAGATTCCGTTTGCTGGTCATCCAACCATCGGTACGACTTGCTATCTCGCCAGGCAAATTCAAGCTGCTCGAAGCGAGGAGACCTCTTCGAATAGGCTAATTCACGGAAAGGTGATTGCCAAGGCCGGCCCTATTCCGTTCACGTATAATCCGACCTCTGGAACGAGCTGGGTAGACGTGCCACACGATGTTCTTTTGCATGATAAAACCTTGAGCGTGGATGAGGGCCGCTTTTACGGACTGGCTGATAGTATTGTTGAAGGATTTGTGCGCCCTCCGGCTTTCATCTCCCTCGTCAAGGGAATGACATTTATTCTTACCGAGCTACCTTCTCTGGAATGTCTGCGAGATGTCCGTGCCGGATTGAAAGATGTCAACGTTGATGGCCAATTAAACTCTGAGTGGCACCCCGATGGTACATTTACTGCTTTTGTCTTTTTCGTTAGACAGGGAAGATCTGCCGATGGGGCATTTAGGCTAAGGACGAGAGTCGTCTTTGGCTCCACGGAGGATCCTGCAACAGGCGCCGCTTCTTGTGCCTTGGTTACGTATCTTTCTCTCCATCATCCTGAGATGGAGCGTCCAGAAGGGCCACAGAGATTTGAGATTACACAGGGGGTGGAAATCGGGCGTGAGAGTTTCATTCAATTGGATATTACACCAGACATGTCTCAAACCCAAGTCGAACGGTTGAGGCTGGGAGGATCAGCGGTAAAGGTCATGGAGGGCTCTATATTTATCTAGGATAGCTAGATTCCCTATGTTTGGGATATTCTGAACATGGATCCAGCAAGCATTTCCTTGTTCAGGCTGATCATAAATGAAACATAATAGTCGCTGATTGGCCACTAGCTCTTCTTAATGCGAGAATTCTGGGCACTGATGATATCACGTAATGATGGGATCTTTCTAGTTTGTTCATTAGGTTAATTCGGTGCGCGTACTCCGACCTTGTCAAATATCAAGTTACCTATTTCTAACGAGGGGCTTGCAATTTATATTGGGAGGAAATGCACAAATTCCTACGTTTGCACGAAAGCCAAAAGCTGCATTATATTGGCACGGAGGACCACGATTTCCAATGGCAACACTTTCAAAAGGGGTGTTGACCAGTCCTCTTAGGGCAGGCCGACAGCCTACAGAGGAAGTGGTTAGCTGGAAAAATACAGGAACACAACAGACCTCGATGTAGAGAGTGGTTTTCTGAGATAGTGCCCATGCTGATTTGGGTTTCCCGCGCACTCAGTGGGATTGATCACATCGCCATAAAAGGTCCACAATGTCTACTGACGAGTTTGATTTTCAACGTGATTGACGGCTGATGATACAACGATACGGGTGCCCTCTAATGGCCACGCCCTTATAACCATGCGCTGTCTTCCGTAAGATGTATTCTTAATTGTTGATATTAAGACTTTCAATATTACGATCTCAATCTCAGGTAATATTAGATCATATGAACATTTTCTGGTCTTCCGGAAGCTCCTTCGGTCCCTGAGACTCCTGGTCCTTAAGCACTATTGGCCCCTCTCCAGTTGAGTGCAGGTTGATGAAGATGGATCTCCAGCCCCACCTGTACCAAGATTTGAGCAGCCCACTTTAGAAGGGCTAGGCTATTGATGAAGTTGTAGGAGTACATAATAAAGACATTGGACTCATCATCGTCTCTATGCTGCTAAGTAGGTTCCTAGCGGCAAGTGAGCGCTTTTTAAAATCACCACTACTATTTTCATATTTCACATTTGCTGATAGCGCACGATACTTCTCAACATACCACCACCACATTCATGGGGCCTTCTCCCCCATCAACCTAGCGCAAATAGTTGATGCATTGGAATTGCGGTGAGCTTCGGGTGCCGAATGACGGGATGAGGGACGTTGAGAAAGCAGGATGGTCTGCATACCACACCGCGTAGATCCTCTGAGTAGACGAGTTTGGGTTCTCATTCTCCGCACACTGAAGTCTGGTGTCTGTCAGTCTTGGCTAGTCGCGTGCCTTCGTCCCTCTAGACCAGTGTCACCGCACCGAACAGTGCGAGAGCTGCGGGGGAACCAGCGGTGTACCACCACCCAATTGAAGCCCTAGGATGTGGACGAAACGAGTAAACCCTTCAGCTTTTCAAGGCTCAGAGAAACCACAGAATTTCGCCTGCCCAGCCTTTATCATTGTGGTGCAATTTTATCCTTGTCAGCGTCATACTGCTGCACGGTCCGACTGCTAAGTCTTCAGTGTTTATGCACTCCTCTTCTCCTAGCATGAAAACAGGGTAGTTTCCGACAGACAATATCTCAACAACGCTCGCTTCTCACAGGCTCTACCGACTCTCGAGTCAGTGGTAATTCTCGAGTAGTGTGCCAGCGCGACAATAGGATGATGATGTAAATCAATCAGTTGGGATCATTTCTCATGCTGTGTCTACTCGTCATAGCAATCAAGAGGCCAGGAGCGGGTATAGTATGTCCGTGTGCTGTGAGGTGTTCAAATTTTATGGTGGAGGGAATGAGCGAATTCTGCACATGCGTACAGGTCAAAGGCTATATTATATTAGCAATCACTGCCTATCTCACCAGGGTGACTCTATTTTCTGCTCCTCGGACTTGTCCAGCAGGTTCGCCGAGCGTCACCGCAAGCGTCTCGTTTGAGTCTTCAACAGCCGGCGCTAGCCCTGACCTTCTACTAACTGATCCCCGGAGAATGGAATCAACGGGGGTGACACCGACCCGGCCCGACAGAAGAACAACCGCGTGAGTTGAAGGAGGTCATGGCTTAAAGATTGCGATACGGAGATGTTATGGAGATTCCACTTGTCAACGTAGCAACTAATCTAAACATATAAAAGCATTGATCTGACAAGCCTTGCGGCACCTATAGCGCAGTACCACGGAACTCTTATTTTGACGACCAATTTAAACCTCGCCTGGAAACCCTCGGTGGCGCTTCTTCTGAAACTGCCACCAGTAAGTTAGTTACTTGCCAAAAGCTCACGGCATTGCTGGCTCGAGGCAGCGAAACAGATTACAATCCAGCCAGGAGTAGTGGCCTTGATGTGAAGACGTAGAGATGATGACGATGGGCACTGGAACTGTCATAGGAGAAATAGAAAAAGGTAGGATGCAGGAGAATACAGAGGAAAAACCAGCACGCTATATTGTCCACGGCTCCTCTTTGGTGGCGTTTGGAAAGAATGACCGGATAAACCCCCCACTGATTGGATCGTAAGGGAAGAAGGAGTCGCCTCCAGGTGGTTTGCTACCGGTCAAGGACAGCATGTCAAGACTGGGAGTCACTTGGGGGTGCGAAGTAGATGGTAAAATTCTCTTATTATCTTCGCCGCGTTGATTCACATATAAGATTGTTTTAAATCCCGTCTGTGCCATATTTTCCCGAATTTTATTAATCTTATCCTCATTCTCGTAATAACTGCATTAATATGCCGTGATCTGGCTCAGACTGGTTATCAATGTCATCTCCACGTCAAATCCCGTTTCATTTAATTATCTAGCATACATAACTAAAGACTCAGCAACGATTGAGCCATATGTATACGTTTAGGTAAACTGAAAGAAGCTTCACAGGAACATCGCAACTTGCTATATACAACTCAACAAGGATGAATTTCAGATATAAGATTCAAATATTTTAAAGATACTAAACAATAAAACTCAACTATAGCACAGAAAGGATGAAAATTCTTAAGAATTCAAGTATTGTTACAAAATGCTGATCTACATACGTGCGCAGGGGTTAGCCTAGCGCCACTAACAACCCACCGTCCGCGTCGATTATGCTTGATAGTAGAATAGTTACATTTAACTTTGCGCCGAGGAATTAGTATCAACTCGAAGGGTATATATACACGTTCTACAACAGGACTCGTAGCTCTCAGAATATTACCTGCTCAAATGCTTCATGCAACCCTCTATCCCGGAGCCACACCTCCAACGCCTGCATATCACCTCTATTGGCTCTTTGCCCACTTCGTTCACCCAGAGAGTCCGTGATTTCCTGCATCCCTGAAAATACTCTCAGAACACCTTCCGTCTCCCGGAATCTCTCACTGACCTTTTTCTGATGACTAGGGATATCGCCCCACGAGTGTGTCTTGATGAAGCTCATATATGCATCAATATCCGCCGATCCACCCTCTAGACACAGGACGCCAGGTTTGCCCGCCAACACAAACCCGGTGAGAGAATAGCCAGCCGCGTAATTGACAAGATCGTCTCGCTTTTCACGGGTTGATAAAGACGGGAAGTAAAACCAAACCCTCACGATCGGTTCACAGCTATTCGTAGCGGACTCAGCAGCCAACATCTTCTGAGTCTCAAGAAAGCGGAGGGCTTCCTCCTGAACGTATTCAAACGCTTCAAGCACATCATCTTGAGGCATTGCGGCGGCCAGCTTCGTAACTTCGGCTTTCGACATCCAGTCCGGCTGCCGTAGCGAATAGCTTAATGGTGGCGGTTGTTCAATATTGGGATCTTCACATTGCAATGGGATTGATATGTTGACTTGGATCCTTTTCTCCCCATCCGCGATTGGTAAACGAACCGCGAGCAATAGGTTTGAGGGAATCCCGGCGGGCACACCGGTTGGGCCCTGGCACCAGTCCCGGAGTTTTCCAACACACTGGCTGGTAGATTCTGGGATTTCAAGCTCTCCTGGTGATGGGAACATGGCTGTAAGGAGGTCAATCATGGACAGCTGAGATTCCATGATGTCAGCCGGTAGAAGGGAGAATGTTTTATGTGCCATTCTGGATATTTAGATCCTTCGGAACGAAGCCGAACGATGATTGAAGGAAGGCAAATATACTGGTTTTTTTTGTCTGTGCCTTTTCTTTTCTTTTGCTTTGTTTCTGCAGTCGATATTGTTTACTTGACTTATATTGAGCTTGCCAAGGTCCCGATTTCCTTCATGTATATAGTAGAGTAGTCATAGTAGATTGATTGGTGAAGGAAGATGCGATTTGATCAAGATGTTGGATTGTTGCTATCCGGCCCGGAATATCTATCCTCCGACAGAGTAATCCACAACTTCACTTCGTTCGATCGATAGGTCTCAATCCATGTAATTCAAGCGACGATTAAAAGATATCAGAGCAATTCAAATGATCTAACTAATCCAACCAATCCGAGTAATTGAAGTGATGTTGGTAATAGATTCATTTGTACGTGGGCTTTGGTATTGTTGTGATCTCAGGGGAAAGATGGGCAGGATGAGGCTGATCAGCTACACGTACGTAGCCTACTGAGGACCGGATGCCATTCCGATAGATACACAATTCTATGGACGACTGTATCAACTATCTTAAGCGCTTTTTTTTTCTTCTTCTTCTTCTTCTTCTACAAATTGGTAAAGCTTTCAAGGGCTGAGGAGTTGGTGATCACGTGTCTCCTATAGATTCATATCACTTCTCTTCTCTTACTCTATTCCCTCTCCATCAACTTGGTTTCTTTGTTGATTGATTCTAGAACAAGGGTCCCTAACATGAGTGGTATCATCACCTTAACAATTAATCCGTTGGGCGTGCACTAGCAGTGTTACTCGCTGTAGGCTTCGCATGTCAACCTATTACAATTCATTCGGCGTTAGATTCGACCAAATTAACGTTGACCAGGGGTTCGTGGGTTTGCACTGTTAGTTGAATGTGGTGTGGAGACTTCCAGTACAAGTATCAGAAAGTATCAGAGGGCTGTGTTGCGTAATGGTCACCCAAGAAGTGGTACTGTGGGCCTTTGAAGTGAGTGCGGGCAACGATGCAATCGTTAGCTTGGGCCGTTTTACATTCTATGCCTGAATGGCGTCATCGAACAAGAGTGCTATTCTCCATATGCTACGTGACAGCAAGTCCGCTGCTCCAGGTCAATTTGTATAGACGTTCAGATATCTCTCAAGTATCTCTGCTAGCAGGGAGCAAACACTCTTTCTTTTTTTCGTTGCGTCATTTGGAACAGACCAACAAGCGCTTACTATACCTTCACTGCTTTACGACAAATGGCAAGGTGTGCTACCGTCTATGATTGGGCACGCCACTGCTTGTAGCCTGCCGACTCGGATGGGTTTGCATTCTGCCACAATTTAGCTAGGAACCATAAATATATCCTCGAGACCCTGCCGAAAAAGCTTACAAAACAGGTAATCTGATAATATATTTGCCATTTTAGCGCTGGTATACTAACCCTAGATACTCCCACGTAGTTGTATCTCAAAGAGCTGGAATGGATGACTATACAGTATATATAAATCTATGCAAGAAACGTATCCGTGTACCGATTACAAGCGGCTTGAAAGCTTTTATCGGTTCTACCATTTGTGTTCGGCCGAAAGAGCATCTCCCAACGCCACTGGTTTCCTGCACTTATATTATTCCACTCTTGTAGGGCTGGAGGCTAGTGCTGGTCGGGTATATCTTGTTATTGTTAGTCGATCTTAATAACCGTGCAAAATACATGTGACAGATTACCAAAGGATTAGTATACCGCCGTCTTTCGACGCGGTTTACGATTACAGGGGATATCACTAGGCTCCCAAGTCGTGCCGACTAGCGGTCTATTTGCTGATTTAGGGAATTCTAGGAAGGCTGTTTCGGAAACAGTGATCAGTGTGGATGCGAAGACAGAGAAACGGTGGTCCAAGTACTAAATTATAGGAAAGTTACGTTGTTCAATTAACCATCAGGGCCCTCAGGCTTACCCATAATAATAATGGCCTGATTTCTCAGATGAAACCTCAATTCAATATTCACTTCACTTTCAGGTCTCTATTCTCTACCTGAGAAATTTCTTCAAGGCCTACTAATTAGATTCTCTTTTTCTTTTCTATTTAACCTTTCCTTCCCTTATCGTAAAGACAACCGTTGACTTCTATCTTCAACATTATTTTTTTTATCTCAAGTTAACTAAAGCCACCCTCCTGTATGTACCCGCTACAGCTTTAGCAATTCTTACAAGCTTTCCGGCAAGTTGTGGTGTGCTGTAAGTATACTGTGTTACTCACTTTGGGATTTTTTACCTTTCTAGCGTGTCTATTTCAACGACGTCGTTGAACCTATCCAATCCCGGTGCTCTCGTGTCATGTATGCTGCTCTGTGTCTTACTTTAATGGAGGCTTACTTCTAATTCCTAAATCTTTACTAAGTGCTATATTCTCTGAGCTGAGGCCGCTGTTTCTAAGGTTGTGTGTTCCCTTGATTCTGCAAAGAACAGCTTGCAGTTGGCCGGTCCCTTTCGGGGCACCCCGCCATCTTTCGGCTCCTGAACAACATAGTGGTGTAATGATAGGTCATAGACAATTAGAGTCTGCTGCAGAGATCCTTCGTGAGGCCGCTGAAGCCATTGACGAGGCCATGAACTTGATGACTGGCCCTTGAGGTGCCTGGGGCAAGGTCAGGGCGGAACCCCCTTTTCTTTCTTTTTTCTTAAAGGATCCCTGTACTTAGCTCGTACCTTCGATAAAGTCTAATTCTGCTGCCCCTCATAATGATCTACTACCCATAGCGTAGCTGGTAATATTTCAGCTGCTCTGACTGAAGGCTTCGATTGTTTTTACTTTGTCTGGTTGCGTGAATGAACCGGAACCACCACTTGAGCTTGACTTTCAACGAGGTCATCAGCAGCGTCGCACCTTGCTTATTTTGATAATTCCAATCTATATCAGGGGTTGTACATATTCTTCGGGTCGTGATATGTAACGCCGCTTCTTCGAAGGATTTGACTCTTCTTGAATGTCCCTCATCATCTTGGTAATTTGCGCGATGGCGGCGGAGAGCTTCATGTTGTGGCATTTGAATACCCTTTTACTATAATCATGGCCTAGTTTCGTAGTAAATGTTTACCCCCTATGGTAGTGATAAGCCCAGTACAAGGTATTGAAAATGTATGTAACATATTATGGTAGCTAATTGAGGCCTTTTATAGGCCGAAAACTTGGGCTTTTAGGCCTCTACAAAACCTCGTACAAAGAGGTACCTTTAATTAATCGATATGCATACTGTTCCCAGAAGCATTTAGTTTTTAATCTCCAATGGGGGTCAAAAAGATGAAATACTGTGTCTCGATAGATCTAGAGTTCCTTGGAATTAGGGTGAGAGTGTTGGTAATGACACTGCGCTGGCGACGGTTCGTTTCATCCACAGCAACTACAACATGTCTTTGCCTACCAGAATGGTCAAAATTGCCTCAACTATTTTCATGTCCACCTATTATTCAATATTCACCTAACCATGGTGGTCTAACTTCACATCCGCGAAAGCGGGAAATCCGTAACAATGGTTTTAAGCTTTGGACAACTGGTATCTGAAAGTCGACTCTCGATTAGGCTTTTACGCTTTTGTCCAGAATCAAAGTCTGGGTCATGATCACAATATGATGACAGCGGATTCTATACATCCTTTATTATCAGGGTCTTGCAGTGACTTGTGGATACTATAAACCGAGTACTATTAAGACCAGTGTTCCAACAAGAAATATGCCTTCAGCAGCAGCAGTATACATTGAGTCGCACAAGCGACTTTCTGAATGGAATGATAAGTTGGAATTTCTAGGCTTTGTTTTATTAGAAATTGTTGACCCAGATGGTATTGAAGAGAGGGGGTTCTGTTGGCATCAAGCTGTCGACCTGCCGGCGATAATTGACACTGCAAAATGCATGTTCCATTCCCAATGAAAGGCTTCGCAAGGTTTTAAGTGAAAAATCCCTGAAATACTTCCAGACCCTGCTTGACCAGTGCAGGCAGATACAAAATGCCATGGCTCATTATCAATCACCGGATGAAACCCCACTGAGAATACTACAAGAAAAGAAAGTGAACCTAAGTAGTTAGCCGCAGTCTATTATCAGGCTTACAGCATCAGAGTTCGACATTCATGAGATAAGAGGTTTTGTAAAAATCACATTGACTGACTTGTCAGTAATTGCTAACCTTCCAACTAAACTCAGGTTAAATGGTGTCCTTATACAACTCAGACTCAAACGCAAGCAACTTATAATGAGAGCACTATTTCATTGACAATACGCCGCTATTGCTAAAACGCGAGCAAATATTGGAGAGCGCAAAGAAACCGCAAAAGTAAGCCTACGTCAGTAAAATGGAAATGCAAAGCAATAGAGGGAGGTTGTTAAAGACACTGGGAGACATTCGAGGTCGCTCAAAGGCGCAAGGTTGAGAGAAGGACGGAGATCAATACCGAAAAAGGCGAATATAGGTGTCCTAGACTCCAGAAACTGGACCATGGCTACTAGCATCGGCGGCAACTGAGGTTAACGCAAGTGGATCGGATTCGTTACATTATGGCGAGGAGGAGAAGGAGTGGAGATTTCAACGCACAAGGTACTTGAAGGGGAAGTCTCAGCTGTGGGCATCAGTTCGTGTATATCCTTCATGCTGGTCTTACTAGCCGTAAGTGCACCCCTATGGCTTAGCCTATTTATCCGCAGCTTATGGAAAGGAACACAAGGGGGGTTTTAGGAGATTGTTCAGCGTTAGGGAGGTGTCTCTCTGGAGACCTGCTGCTACCCAGCTGGTTTATGGGAGGCCATCGAGGTTTGCTTGACACTGTAAAGCATAAATCTATGAAAGGCAACACATTCTTCCAATGGTGTGGTTTAGAGCAGTGATCGTTCCAGCCCTAGCTTTGGACAGCCTCTGTAAGATCACGGTCTCATGGCTTGATGATATCAGACTATTTGTCTCGTGTGCCAAACATGTTTGCGCTGATTGCCATATAGTGGCTCTACGCGTCTATAACACAATGTTGTTTCTTTTGTTCCTTATGTTTAGAATTTTATCATTTTAGGCACCAAATGAGATAGCTTTAGGCATCCTGTTTGCTTGGCCATGACAGTCTCCCCGTGGCATTCACAATGCTTTGCATATACCGTTGCAAGTTGATACACATTACCAAAACAATAACATATGTTATTCCACAGGACAAGGGGTAATTATATTGTTAAGGGAATGGAAAGAAGCACACATCGGATTTTTATCTCATAATTACAACCAGCGATGAGGCCTTTCTCATTGCTTTTATGGGCACCCATGGTACCCAGCTACCTTCAAACATCTAGAAGAACACACTTATCACGGAATTAATATAATACTAGAGATTCTCTAGCTTTCAGGACCACATGGGCCATTATAATAACCGGCGCTGGACGCACGACCCGGCCCTCTTCGACTTGGGACTTGATCTCCACATCTACATTCTCCATCAACGGCAAGGTTTCATCGGGCCATCCCGCCATCCACACCAACTGCCTCGACGTGGTCAGCACGCCGTACACCTCACACCTTCGTCACCAACCTCCGCATAAATATCGCCGACAGTGACGTCAAGGCCGCGGCCACTGCCTCGGCGCTCGCGCAGTACTATGCGGGTTTAGTGCAGAATGAGAGGAATGGACTGTGGAAGATTGACGCCGTTAAGACGGTGACGTCTTGAGCAGAGGGTGATTAGGATGTGACCAATGCAAATTGAAGGATAGAGGGGTGGGGAAAGAAGGAAAAGCCTGTGTTTAAGTGCTAACAAGGATGATCCCATCGGGCCATTGGAAGTCGGCCACGAGGGTTCTACGGGCGTGGAACTATCCTGTGTGTATTGATTAGAGGGTTTTGACCGACTAGGTTGGCAAAAGGGGCTGGACTCACACATGTCTCGAGAAAACCCCTCTCTGGGGTCGGGCTAGGATCGGCCTGACCATTAGGGCCGACAGTATTATGTACCAGCATGTTTTAGAAGCAGGTCAGCTTTCCAAAAGTTATTTTGTTTTGTCAATGAAATACTAGCGAAAAGCACCAAAATCCCAGACTTTTAACAATAAATATCATGACAGTGACAAGATATATAGGTAGGCCTCATAAAAGATTCGTGTTTCTTGGGGCCTTATTTATCTATTGTGAAAGTTTGACATTCCATAGTCGTGGTTCAAGCTCTAACTAAGTGTAAGCGGGTTTCGCCTATGGTAAGAGAAAGTGCGCGACCGTTTGTCTGCGGTGTCCCGTAGTCCACCCGCAAAGGCCCGTAGACGTGGGGCCTATATATTAGGGCTGACAGATCTACGACAACCTGACAACCCTGATCGCATGCCCGCCTTTTGTGTGTTCTATCTATTCCTTTGATACATGCGCCTCATATAACAGTAACTAATAAATAGGCGTACAATATGAACAACAACTCATTCCATCACTTTTCGCAGCTGCCTCTAGAACTACGCCGTCTTATCTGGAAGCACTGCCTACCGTATCGTATAGCAGAACAAGATATGCCTGACTTCCTTCTTGATGGCAACGAATCCCGTCAAGCCTGCTGGGCTGACCGTATAACATACCAAAACGCTCAGCTGCCGGTCATCGCATTTGTCAACAGCGAGTCTCGGCAAGTCGCGCTGGAACAGGGACGCAGGTTGGAACTGGACGTGACAACTAGCCTGAAGTCGATATGGATACAGCCGCGTCGGGATGTGCTGCATATTAACTGGTCGCGAATGAGCTACAAGCACGCGGCAATGGCTTGTGACCCTTGTAGTCCGATTGATATGTTCCTGTGGCACGCAGATGATCTTGGGATGCGGCCTTCTATCGTGGCAGATATTATTTATCCTTTTAGCTTGAAGGCGTTATTGGATGGCGCTGATAGTGCTGATAGTACTGATATGTGGTCCACCGGCCCGTGTATTAAGTATAAAGGCAGAGAGTATGAAAGAAATCAGGACGTGTCCGACATTACGGCATTCGCGGAAATGGGATGTCTAAGCAAGCTAGACATAGCTATGGCAGCGGTTTCTCTTCATATTACCAGGAAAGCGGCTCTGAGGTCAGGCCTGTTTGGGTTGTTAGGCGATGCGCCTGTTCAGATGGTTGATGTTGATAACAAGGCTAGGTTGAGGGAATTTCAAGCATTATTCAGGGAACACGCATTGGAAAAGGAACCGGCCGTGCAAACACTCTTCGAATTATTTATAAGTCCTCGATTCCAAACAGCCGTGGAAGCATGGAAAAGACAAGCTGAATGGCTTATCCTCGCGTTCATGTGGCAGTCGGCACGAGAGGAAAACCTCGACATTCTTGGAACGAACCCGGGCTCCGCTTGGGTACCTTACCTGCCAGAGCAAGAGTATATCTGGATGTCTCGCTTTTTGCTTAATGAGAAGCATGCGTGGGTCAAGCAAGCTAGGCAGAGTATGCCTAAGCTGCGACTGCGGATAATGGTGCGATATTGTACCAATGAGTGTTATATAAAGGAACGACTTCCCGAGGGCTTTGGGGCTTATTATTGAATACACCCATGAGATCGAATAGTATCGCGGCAGCTGACTTATATACGGTAAATAAGGGCTGCGGAATCATATGGATTGTTGAATATTATTATAATTAAGTCAGATATATAAAGCCTCATAATTTTATCTAGATAGGCCTTCTCGATGGTTTAATAAGGATCATTAGATCTAAAAATCAGATTACCTTAATACAGTATCTCGCGATATCCTACCATATTGTCCTATACTTAGTAAGTATAAAATAGAGAGTTCTTCTATATAGCCCAATAGGCCTTCATGCTTTTTTACACGCCTCGGCGAGATGATCGTGCATACCCTGCGCCTGAGTAATAGCCTCAACATGACTCGCTGAAAGGCCCGCGCTATTAAACTGGGTGACATAGTCTCTCACCCACTGCTCCACCTTGTCAAAACCTGCTTTGGCCTTGTTATCGCTGATGGTCTGGTCCGCGTCAATCTTCTTGTAACCCGGCACTGGTGGTCTCTCTATGGGATCAGTGTACGCGACACTGAACCCCTTTATCTTCATTTCCTTTACAAACTTATCGATGATCTTCTGTGCCTGGTCGTAGCGCCGGGCGTCGGCATGGGTCTTGAGCGCAGCGGTCATCTTGTTGAAACGGTCATCGGCAGGCTCCCTGCCGTCGGCCTTGAGCTTGGCAATGGCCTTTGTGCCGATATCCTGCGCCTCTCTCATGACGTTTTCAAAATTGTCCTTCTGATCCCAACCCTTGAAGATCTTTGCATTGTCCATGAGCCCCTTGAAGCCAGACTTGTCAAACTCAGTGCTGAAGACGTTGAGGTCCGCACCCTCGCCGATGTGCGCCCAACCGATCTTGTCAAAATCGGGATCCTTGATGAGGTTCGGTCTGCCGCTGGGATCCCTGATGATTTTTCCGTCCCTGTCGCGCTCCGGTTTGATTATGAACTTGCAGACTTCCTTGATGAAGGCCTCCATATCGCAGACAACACCGGCCTTGGCGCAGCCGGGCGCCATGCGCGAGTTCGCGAGGCCGTGGGCATCGACTTCGAGCCTGTAGAGCTGGTAAAAGAAGAGGACTTGGAACTTTCCGGCGGCTTGGTTGGCCGTGATGCCAGCAGCGAGAAAGATCGCCATGAACAGAAGTGGAAGCATGATTTTTGATTTCTATCGAAGAAAGAAAGAAATACAAAAAAGCCATGTAAAAATAAAATAAATAAATAAATGAAAAAGAAGGCCCAGGGTGAGTAGGCCAACTGAGCAAGACAAGACCCTTCTATGATAAGTGCTGCAAGTTATTTACTAGCTGCGAGTCATGCGCCGACAGGAGAAACGCAAAGGCGAAGAAGAAGAAAAAATATTTCGTGTTCTAATAGTCTTAATATTACTTTCCTGTTGACTCTAATGTCTACTGAGCATGGATTCCACGGGGTCGAGACTTGCGACTTACGAAAATGGTCCTAGATAATGTGGTTTGTTATCTTCGAGAGTCACTTATTGGATAAAAGGTCCTGCATGTAGTTTTGCAATCTCCGAATAAGACCAGACCTGAAGTTTTTTTCCTTCTTGAGCTTCATGCATCTATCAAGGGGGTAGGGACTACGGCTGTGTAGTGGCTCTAACAAGATTAATTGTGACAAGGATATAGTCCCTGGTGTCGTATCTCGATACCTCGGCTACTACCTAGGACATTAACCCCTATTCAACGTGTATATAGTAATATATTAGATATACAGCCCACCGCTCCGTACCTAACCGATCTTTCAGCTAAGTACTAGTCTTTAGGGTGATACTAGTGCTTAGTGGGAGGGGTCGGTTACATTCCTAGTTCTTTTTAATAAACAAGTCAATATCAATCTACTAGATACTAGTTGCCTCCTTTTAAATGTTGTCCTTGAGTTTCCTCAAACTCTGACACTGATGATATGCTAAAATACATGACTATGATCTTGGCCGTTTCCTAAATTTGTGAAATGGATAAGCGAGATAGTCTAGCATACTTAGCATAGGTCTAGCGATACTACTATGGAATCCCGGGTAAGTGGCATGTTGGCAAAGTCGAAGAGTATGAACCTCGCATATCATAGAAACTTATACTTGAAAATATCATGAAAATTCAAACCCAAATACTGCATTAATATTTACTGTATATCCAACTTAAGCCGTGTAAATCCTGACATTACTCACAGACAAGGTCGTCATATAAGCCCTAATGCCACTCAACCCAGCACTATACTTTCCATCCTTAACCATTATCCTCGGCGTATTCAAGTCATCCACGTAGACAGAAATAGAATCTCCACTCGTCCGAATCACTAAGTGATGTTTCTGTCCCTCCTTGATATCCGCAGCCTGAATCATCTTGAGCTCATTCCAATTGTTGTCCGCGCGGCCGAGAACGACGAGTCCGTTGCCGATACCAGCATAGTACCCGTTGTAGCTATCCGGGCCGGCCTTAGCGTTGGACACGCGGAAGATGAAGCCGCCGTTGCCGTTAGCGGAGGAGGAGTCGATGGAGACGTCGGCCTCATAGATCAAGTCTTTGGAGGTGACGTCGGTGGTCAGGGCCTTGGCGATGGGCGAGGCGGACAAAACAGCAGCATTGGATGAGACTTGGTATTTGCCATCCACGGTTGTCCACTTGCCCATGGTGCCGCTTGAGAAGTCATCGCTAAACGCCAGTGGGGTGATTTGAATGTTGTCAAAGGTGGCGCCCGTGTCGTAGACTCGCACGCCGTTCATGCCGCTGGTATACATACCATCCATGACGCTGACCTTGGCCTTGCTCATGTCATCGACAAAAAGGTCGAGCGCCTTATCCATGGCCTGCACTTTGACGTGGTGGACCTTGTTGGATGCCATGTCGGCGGGCGAGCTACCGAGACGCGTCCAGCTATTGCTCGCCCGGCCGAGGACAACGCTTCCAGAGGCATCAATACCTGCATAGTAGCCGCTGTAGGCATCTGCACCAATGCTCGGATTAGATACGCGGAAGAGAAGACCGGCGTTACCAGAGGTCGATGGCAGCATGACATCGGCCTCGAAGAGGAAGTTTTTAAAGTTGGTGTTCACCAGGGCCTTGCCACCGAGAGATGTGCTTCCCACTAAGGCACCCGAGGATGCGTCGAAGGAACCACCGTAAGTCTTCCACTGGGCCATGGACCCGCTGGAAAAGTCATCGCCAAAGGCGACGTTGTTGGGGATGGGCGTCTCGGTTGGGGCTGAGGTGGGAGACGTCGATGCCGTAGTCGTTGTCGTGGTGGACAGCGGAGGGGCAGGAGGTGGCGGGATGTAGCTTGCGCCAGACGAGAGGCAACCGAACGACACCTCGGGGACTCGAATGGGAGTTGCACTCTGGCTGTAACCCCAGACAGTGGCGACGAGGTATGTCCGGTTGGCGGCCAAGGCGTAGGCGCGAGCATCGCCAGGGTTGTGGTATCCAGTGCCAATGCGCCAGCTGTACTGGTGTTGCTCTTTGTTCGTCTGCACCGGGCCCAGGGTGGTATTTGCGAGGAAGGCGGCGTCAAAAGCCATGACGTCCTGACGGGCGAAGCCAAACGAGTCCTGACAGCTTGGTGGTATGGCATCAAAGCCAAGCGCCGAGCACATGGTGCCGTTGGCTACTTTTCCCCAATCCTGGGTCAGGCTGGTCTTGAGATCGGCCTGGCATGCCTGGGATAGGAAATTGCACTTGCTGCCACCGTCGACGGCCAGCTTCACCTCGGGTCTGGTGGAGATGAAGACATGGCGACAAATGTACCATGAAGGGTCCATAGCCAGTGGCTGGCCGCCAGAGCTCATGCTGTCGGGAATACCAAATGTTAAGGACGACAGGACAGTGGTTGCATTTTCCACGATAGACGCAGACAAGGGCATTTCCTGGGCGATCTCGAGGTACGCCGTGTGGCCGTCTCTGCGGGAGCCCGGATACGGCTGCGTCCAGTCGAAGCCATCTATAGCGGTAGAGTGGATAGCGATGGGCGTCTTGAAAGCGGCGGTAACATTTTCATACGGGACAGCGAGGATGTTGCTGCTACTTATAAAGAATTCATCATAGTCTATATAGACGGGGGAGGTGAGCGCGGCACCCATTGTAGCAAATAAGGTAAGGATTCTAGAGAGGGGGAAAGGGTAAGGCAATAAATATATCAAGAAAATTACAGAGGAGTAAATGAGATGTGTTGTCGATAATAGAGACAAGGCTTTCCACGATACTTACTCTGTACAAGAAAAGAAATTAAACCCATAACGACAATCGAGCATGGCAACTTGATCTAGACTTTGCGACCTAAGCCCTTTCCTCTCCCCCTAATAAAAATTAAAAATTAAAAAATTAAATCAATAACAGTAAGTAAAGAATAATAGATGATTAATACGGTGGGATAACCAATTTCGGCATGTACCTATCTAGAAGGTGGCTATCTGGGTTGACAACGTAGCCCACGGAAATTATATCAAATGCAATTAGGGCCCGGAGACGTTCGGTGGTCCATTGCTAACTAACACCAATAAGGCTCTACGGTGCGCTGCAAGTCACTCAGTCAAGAGCCAGAAGGTTACATGTAGGGATCTCTTAGCGGCGTGGCCCCTGGAATGGTTGCATTTGAGGCCAAAATCTCCTGATAGTCTAGGGGAACCGAGGTAAAAAAAAATCACTAGGGTTTAGTTGCATATGGGAGTCTGTGTAGATTTGCAACCTCTGGACAAACCAGACTTGAGGTTACTTTCACCTTAGTCTAATGCATCTATCAGGGGAAAAGTGAGAACCTCCGACGAGGGTATCAGCTAGTTTTGTTAACCCGAAAGAAAACGGGCCGGGGCTAGCACAATGGCTTGAGTTGATACTGCCAGCTTACACGATGAGCAAAATTAGTATATTATATGGACCATTAATCCCTCCAGGTAGTCTGTCTCTTCCTCACATGTTCACTCATTCCCTGCCAGCGCTGGCTAAGAGAGCAGGATGAGGCCCTCTTTTGTCCTCCTTGCCTCTCTGCTGGGTCTTGCCTCGGCTGTCACAGAGAGCTACAATGGCCAGTATGCTGACAACTGTCCCAGTCTGTGTGCTGATGCCGGTCCCAGTCCGGCCAACTGGACCAACATCCACCATCTCCGCTATCTTGAGAGCTGTGATCAAACTGTCCTCTTTGGTTTTAATATCCAAAACTCTGTCGCGGATCCAAACATCATCCTCACCATCCGCGCCTGCGTGGCCAGCCAAGGCCAGACGTACAAAGCTGCCGCCTCCCCTGATGTGCCTCAGCAGCAAAGCCAACGTAACCTCGTTGTCGCTGAAAGCTGCGGCGCCAAGTCAGTCACGACAGCTTTCACTTCCCAAGTTGGCCTTTCGACGCTTAGCAAGACGTCCAGCACTGCTCCACAGTCTGACCATGTGGCCGAGGCTACTCGTCAACTTGCCCTGTTCGTGGGTGAGAGCGCCGAGTGCGGCGCCACCATCTTGTTTGCCAAGCACAAGTCTGCTGTAGTGGGCTTGTATTCTGGTGCACAAATCACCAAACATGCTGCGCGAGGCTTTCTCGATTCTTTTGCGGAAAAGCAAATTTCTGCAATGCAGATTTGCCGGCCTGCCGGTGCGGCCCTGACTGTTGGAGTGGTATCTGCTGGCTTTGTTGATCTGGCAGCGGCTCAAGATGCCATCAAACACTGGAACAATGGTCTCTGCCTTGACGGGACCATTCCCGCTACGACCATCAGCATGGACGTGCTCGTGTCTACCGTGGATAAGAGTTTCAATGCTACTATCAATGCTACTATCATCTCCCACGGCAACATGACTGCCAGAAGAGAACCACGAGCCCTTCTCCCAAGAGGAGAATGCAGAACAGAGGAGGTCCATGGGGGTGACAGTTGCGCCTCGCTGGCCAGCCGCTGTGGCATCTCTGGAACCGACCTGGCTAAATACAACCCGCAAAAGAACTTGTGCTCGACCCTGAAGCCCAAACAGCGCGTTTGCTGCAATGCAGGCACAATGCCAGACTTTCGCCCTCAGCCCCAACCCGACGGGACCTGCAACACATATAAAATCAACGATGGCGATGGATGTTTTGACCTGGCAGGCGCGCATTACCTGCAACAGCAAGATATTGAAGACTTCAACAAAAACACCTGGGGCTGGGCCGGCTGTGCACACCTGCAGAGTGGCCAACTGATCTGCCTCAGCAAGGGAACGCCTCCTATGCCCTCGCCGATCCCGGGAGCCACCTGCGGTCCACAGGTCCCGGGTACCAAGAAACCTTCCAATGGAGCCGCACTAGCTGATCTTAATCCATGTCCCCTTAATGCATGCTGCGATGTCTGGGGATTTTGCGGAACAACGGTCGACTTCTGTACCAAGTCACCTGCGGATACTGGTGCTCCCGGTACCGCAAAGCCGGGAACTAACGGCTGTATTTCCAACTGTGGTATGGATATTGTCAACAATGGCAAGGCACCCGATCAGTTAAAGACCATCGGCTATTTTGAGGCATTTGACCAGCTGAGGGCTTGTCTGCGAATGAGTGTCACGGAGATCCCGGCCAACAAGTACTCGCACGTCCACTTTGCATTTGCCACAGTCACATCCAGTTTCGACGTGGACATCTCGGATATCGAGTATCAATTCAGGAAATTTGTGAAGATGAGCGGCTTTAAAAAGATTCTCAGCTTTGGCGGATGGGCATTTTCCACAGAGTCGGGCACGTTCCAGCGCTTCAGAGATGCCACCAAGCGGGAGCATCGCGACACATTCGTCAATAACCTGGTGAGCTTCATGAGCCGCCAAAACCTGGATGGCTTCGATTTTGACTGGGAGTATCCTGGTGCACCTGATATTCCGGATATCACACCCGGAAGCCCTGACGAAGGAAACAATTACCTTGCTTTCCTGCAGCTGCTCCGAAGCAAGCTGCCCAGCGGGAAATCTATTTCCATTGCGCTGCCGGCTTCTTACTGGTACTTGAAGCAGTATCCTGTCAAGGATATCATAAAATATGTGGATTACTGTATTTACATGACGTATGACTTGCACGGCCAATGGGGTATGTAGCGCAAACTTGACATAAAACTGCATAGAACGATGTGCTAATCAAGAGTCGGGATGCAGATGTTGATAACAAATCGGCCATGCCCGGCTGCAAAGCCGGAAACTGTCTTCGATCACACATCAACAAGACTGAGACGCACGATGCTATGGTCATGATCACCAAAGCTGGTGTGGAAGCCCGACAGCTAGTCATTGGCATCACCAGTTATGGCAGAAGCTTCCGCATGAATGACGCGTCCTGCTCCGGTCCCTTTTGTACCTTTGCCGGAGATAGGACTCACTCCATGGCCTATGCCGGACCTTGTACCGCAACTGGTGGGTACATCTCCAACGCTGAGCTCAACGACATAATCAAGAACCACGGCAGCTACTCTATCGTCAAATCGTACATTGACAAGGATTCTGACTCCAATATTCTCATGTACGGTAATCCCGGAGCGGTGGATTGGGCGGCTTATATGGACGGCGATCTCAAGGCCAACCGAATCAACTGGATTAAGGGCCTCAACTTTGGCGGTTCGAGTGACTGGGCCATTGACCTCCAAAATTACTCTGACAATGAAAACGGCGATGACAGCGACGACGGCGACGGTGCGGACGATGAAGCCGGCGACGACACTCCCACCTGCCCCTCCGATAAGAACCCGGGCACCCTGGAAGGTCTTGCTGATAAAGCCGACTCTCTAGATCCCGGTTGTGTCAACCTCTTTGCAATGGATATTTTATACTCGCAGCTCGTCGACAGTTTGTCTCTATTCCAAACCAACTCGGAAGGCTACGACGACAAGTTCGGCTGGTATGAGAAGTGGACCAAGGAGCAGATCCAGCCGCGCATCGACAAGTTCATGAAGTTCGGCGAGGGCCAAGGTCTCAAGTACTTTGACTGCTACTGGAAATATACCGGCCGCGATGAAACGAAAGATTCTTGCCTCGGCATGCCGCACATCTGGGACATGAATACGGGATGGAGCATCCGCTACGATCTTGTCGACAAGAAGGGCTTCTTTGACACGCTCGCGGCTGAGACGGGCATCGATGAGTCGTGGGTGACATTTGGCGATGAAACTTCAGATTACGAGTGTGCGCTTCCTGGCGATATACGACCGGGTGCCGGCAACTTGCCCTGCCGGAAACTCTTTCACAAAAAGCTGAATTACCCTCAGAAGGGCTCCAATGACAATATCCACGTTGGCAATCCTAAGAAGCTGATCGAGGCGTCTATGGGCAATGTCACGGCTCTAAGAACCTCGCTCCTCTCGTCGTACCTCAGCGTGGGCCTGTCATTCTACGACGACGGGCCAAGAGATACCTCGGCCACCGACGCAGTAGTCGCCTACTCCATGCCCGTACTGCAACTCGCCGAAGCCATCAGCAGCATGAAGGACATTAAAGAAATCGGCGAAAAGGCCAAGGAACAAGCAAAGAAGGACCTCATCTTCAAGATCCTCACCGTCATCTTCATGGTCATCCCCTTTGTCGGCGAGGCCCTCGGCCCCCTGATTGGCAGTGCAGCATCAATCGCTCGCATTGCGCTTCTCATCGGCGAAGCGGGCAACGGGGCGCTGACAGTGGCGGAAATCATTGAGGATCCGACGTCTGCACCGTTTGCAATGTTGGGCTTAATTGCGGGTGTTGGCGGCGGGACGGGCAAGCTATCTAAGGGGGAGGCGCTGGCGGAGGCTTCCAAGGCAAGGGGCCTGTTGAAGAGTAGCGATTTAGCCAAGTTTCCGCAGAGGTTTAGGGATAAGGATGCTTTGGTGCAAAATATCGTAAAGGGTTTGTGTGCGAGGAAGTAGGTGTGGCATGGTAAGACAAGGTATTGGGCTAGACAGTTGTAATCTCTGTCCTTTATTAAATTGTGCTTCCTTCGTTTAAAATTTTTTTCTTAATAAATTCTTAAAATATACCTAATTACTTTGCGACACTCACGACACTTCCTCTTTGCCTCCTTTTTTCTAAAAAAAAAGGTATTTTTTATCTATTATGACGGCTGAGCAGTATGATGGATTGGTGCTATTGAAGCAGAATATCAAGCGCGAGGGGAAATATAAGAAAGTGCTGTGGATGCGTGAGATGTGCACGGAAATAGGCAGGCTATGTGCCAACAGTGTAAGCACCAACCATGCCCAATTTGTCACACATATAGTCCTGGATAACAAATCGGGGAAGCGATTTGGTTCCCTTAGGATGGAAAGGATCCTTGCCTATATATATAAGTAAATTCAATAAGTCTAAGTAAAGAATCGCACAGGCAGAATTAATGAGAAGTGCATCTTCCAAGTATATGTCAAATTGAAGTAACAGTTCCTGAAACATACTAGCAGATTGCTTGCACTCAACTCAAGGTCGCAATACCGAACTCACCTGAATGGCATAAATGAGCCGACCCACCTCACTCCCAGGGATTTGGATGGACGCCGTAAGGTAGAATTTGCGTCCTTCAACTTTCTCTGGCCACGCACGCAGGCGGATCGGAACGTCCGGTGGAACAGAGTGCGCAAAGGATGTGTTGAGGTATGCTAGGGCCGCCGGCCAGCAGCAATCTGCAAGGATACGTTCTAGGAGCATGGTAACGTATCCACCAAACATCGTTCCATCATGGTAACACATCTGCTGCCGCGGGGCCAACTTTATGATAGCCTCTGCTTCCATCCCCAGAGGATGACGCCGGAAAGTAGGGCTATAACCTTAGAGTAGAGAACGTAGCAGTTCTTGCAAAGGCTCTATTAGTAATTTCTGTTGAGATAATCGCTAAATCAGTATTGAACACGGTTGTAGTTTTGGTGAGAAGCATACGAGTACTCTCTTTGATATACCTTGTACTCCATTATATACCAGATTCTGGGAAGGTAAATCTTGATATCCGCGAACCGTCTGATATATCACCCGAGCTGCAAAGTGTCGAGACATGTTGTTGTGAGTCTTGGTAGCTAAGGTCTAATAGAACAAAGCAGCCCTCAAAAGAAAAGATATTGGAGAGGATGTACCGCAGTAGCTACTTATAGGTTGAGATATGTTCCCTGGTATCCTTCCTGCCTATATACTGGAAAACCACTATCTTTAGCCATATTACGTGTCAGTGTTGAGACCATCTTGAAAGCGTGCAAAAAAGGCAGAGTCTGTCACCGCGTGGACGCTGATCTGCGAGCCGATTCGGCGTCGCACGACTTGTCCCCACTACTTAGTTGCGACCCCATTTCGGTACCGTAAGCCCACAGGGCGATCATAACCACCTATATATTTGCTCTACAATGTACTGTGCTTGGTATAACGGATTTTGCTACAATAATATGGGTGTGAATGGGTGACAGTAATAAGGGCAACTGTATCACCTCGCCATAACACGCCGCAGCTGGAGAATCCTGGGGTGCTTATTATATATAGTTGGTTGAAGAAATGGGCCTTTTTTAATGATTATTAGATTGACGATTATTACTACTATTCCTGCGTTCACACAATATCATGTGTCTGGAATCACGTGCTTGCCTTGTATGGCCTCTAGGCGCCTACATTATATATATACCTAGTTCATTTGTTCTGAGTTTAATTTTGAATTTGGAGGCAGCAATTTGTAGATACCTAGTGGTACCAGTGATTTACACAACATAGTTGGCAAAGTAGGCCTCAAGCAGAAAAGCCCTATAGTACCAATCAACCCATAACTACCGGTAGTATATATGTTCATTTAGCTGATAACTATTGTAGCGTATCTTATCTTGATATTTTAGGATCTCTCTCTCCTGTTGAACCAAAATACAATAAGGACAGTAAAAGGAGCTCAAATAATCACTATATACTGAGTCTATTATTCTAAGTTACTTGCGGATCATATATCACTTTTTCATCAATAGTATCCAGTGCAAGCTACACAGGCTGAGATATGAGAATAAAAGACACTAGTTTTCAGGTCAGCTCTCTAGAGGGATACTATGTCATGGAGATATACCGTATATCTCTGTACTCCTATAACAGAGGCCGTTTTCATATCGTTCAGGATCCTCAAGTCGAGATAGAGAACTCCTGAATAACCAATATGGTAGAAAGCTCGCGCATATGCCTGAAGTATACATTAGCAGTTGGAATAAACATGCATATCTTGTATATATGTGTTAATATCAGTGCAATAGCCATTGAAGAACTTAGAAGACCATTGTCTTTCTTCTATATTCCCAGAGATCACCTTGTGTAGCAGTACTTGTCTAATCAAGTGAATAAAGATATAAAGATATGTTAGGAAGGTTTATTTAAACTTTTAAATATCAAGCACCTAGTATTCGATCTAGTAGTACTATCCTAATAATTAATGGAGCTTTAATATGCTAGGCTATGTAATGGCTCACCAGTGTCTCTGTGTATTATATAATATATGCTGCGACCCTGTTTTATGCCTGCAGGCGATTCTGTCTGCTATCCAGACCTTTCAAAAAATAATAATATATATGCTTATCATCTCTGTGGGTTATTTTTCAGTGTTCTATATTTTTCTTCCCCTACCAGAGCTACAATGTACAATAAACCAAAGATCCCAGGAGGGCTATAATTTGCTATTGAAAAAGGTCTTTCTATGGCAATCAAAGGTATCTTGATAAGGGGACAAGCCCTGATCTTTGTGACAAGAATAAGTAGAGCCAGAGAAAATCGCTGTTGGCACTTGCTGCTATCAATGACCAGATATGTATAATCAAGCTTCTTATAAAATATGGCGCCAAGATTGATAAGAAGGACTCTTATGGCTCAACTCTGCTATCCTGGACAGCTGAACATAGTACATTTCAAGCTATGAAGCTGCTTATTGAATATGGTATAAATGCCAACGCTGAAGATAAAGAGCAGACAACACCACTCGCCTGAGTAGTCTATGCAGGCACAGGAGATACTTGGAGAATGCAGGACTACCTTATTTCTAAGAGTGCCAAGATAGAAATATGCTATATCTTCTTTAACATGTTTATATATTTACTGGCTATAAGATATACTGGATACTGTTCAGGCTGAAAAGTAAGAGTTCTTGCTATCTTTATATATTTTTGCTAACCTAAGAGTAGACCAATTTTAAGAGTAGGGACATGGGATCTCGACACACAAGGCCTCTTTTAATATCCTGGTTGGTACTCAGCAAATAATTGAAAGATATATTGAAAATTACCTCTGAACTATGTAAATAAGGTTCTGTAGAGAAAGATATCAGGACGTTAATTTCTGAGATATCAATACAGTATAAGATCTATAACACAGGGGCTAATGTCAACTAACCTGCTAAAGATAATCACTTGGTAAATTGAGTTGCACCAAGAAAAATTATAGATATATACAGTAAATAAGCGGTGTTGGAATATTTTGCTGAAATTAGATTCTTGGCTGCTTTCATATGGTGACTCTACCCGCGGACAAGTCCGGAGGTCCATCTAATATTTAGCGCCTGCAAGCCCATTCGGGTACGGCAGATTGTATTAATTTAAATTCCCTGCAACCCTAATCTGGTTTCATGCTTTTGTATCCAATCCTACTCAGAATAAATTTATACCGCAGCCGATATACACCCTATTTTTTGTCTACTATCATGTCGCGGACTGTTGATCTCTGTTTACCGGTAGGCGTACAACACTCATCAGGAGGGCTAAACAGAAGTAAAATGTTATTAGTCAGATTTTATATGCTAGTGATAACCTAGAAGACCCAGATGTTGGTCAATTTTTAATTAGTGATGAGTTAGCGCCTCTGTACCAGACAGACTTTAATGTGAGATGATAACAAATGAGGGTTTTATTAAGGCGCGCAACACTATTAGCCTTGAGAAGCGTCGCCCAGATGATGTCTGCAGGAATATTATTACTGTAAGCGCCTGTCTGGATATCGGAAGCTACATGGTCGGTTGGGCAAGGTCAATGGGCAAGATAATTAAGGATCTGTCGAACAACCATGATTGTGGTGTCCTGGATGGTACTTATTAGGGTATCAGATACCAGTTTTATGCTTCGGGCCGCAACTGCGATACCACTTCTCAAGAGAATACTATTGCTGGTGCGATCAATAAGTATATACACAATGTCGACAACGGAAAGCTGTGTCACACTGAGTGCTTGCGCATAACACATGGTGGGACATACGCTGGATGGTTGAAGGTCGGCCCCAAAGACAGCTTCAAAGCTAATGCTTACTGTGGTACCCACTTGAACTTTGATCATTGCATCTCAGGCGGTAACAACGATATCTAAGCCGCTCTATTAACATCTTCCGTTCTGCTGGTATATTTCCTTGCACCCTGAATACAGACTCCTATACTGACCTCATCAGGTTCTTTGCTTGCCTGCCAGGGGCGTGTCAATATGTGGCAGCGCTAATGATAGGAAAATGCTCAAGGTGTGATTCGTTAGCTGTTTTACTTGATGCGACCCATAAGTGTTATGATTTCAGGGGAAGAAGGAAAGGATGAAGCTATGTCAGCTACACTCACGTAGCCTACTGAGGAGCGGATGCCATTCCAGTAGATTCTCAATTCTATGGACGTCTATATGGCATCTATCCTCTTAGCTACCTAATGGATCAAGCCTTCACGATTGGTTTGGTTCTGATTTATTCCTCCGGCTGTGCGCAGCCTAAGGCTACAGGTAGCCTCCTTGCTGAGTTTGTAGAATCATCTAATTACACATGTTCTTGTGCCCTATCTCTGGTGTTCCAGGCGTCCTGTGGCTATAGCGAACTGTATTACAGCCTTAACCACTTCCATGTTTGGTCTCCGGCCTTTTTACCGATTGACATCTTGTCCTATAGGTCCTTTCTTTCTCCGATCTACCTCCTAACGCGTATGACAGGTGCTCGTATCGATTGCCCACCACTCTTCGTATGTCACCACGATGTAATTCCCACCGGTTGCACTCAAAGACGTGTTGAACTGTTTCTGGTTCTTTTGTACAGTCACTGGATTCGTCCGCTATTTGTTCAATCCTGCGCAGGTATTGGATATGACCTGTCCGGAGCTGCGGTAGGGTAGCTGCTTGTGCTTTGTCTAGTTGATCATACAAGATCTTGGTGCGCCCTCCTGGGAGAGCTGCATCTATCGCCTTTGTGTATCTACTAAAAGGGCCTTGGAGAAACTGCTCTTTTCTTGCCTGTTTCAGCTTTTCTTGCATTTTTTTTCTCCAAGTCGCGGATCTTGTGCGTCGCCTTGCCCAGGGTGGTGAGTCTGGCTGACAACCCTTCCGGGTTGCATGTTGGCTTGCTATCTTGGCCAGTCGGAGTCCTCGGTTCTCTATATCGCTTATTGTCCATCCTGTTGTTAGCTGAATTTTTTCTTGCTGCATTCTTCATCATCAAGTTACGCAGCTCCACTTGCGCCTTGATCTGACGGTGGGCGTCACGGAAAGCTCGGGTCAAGGTGTCGAACATCTCGATAGTGGACTGGTAAGGGTTTGTAGTGTCTTCTCGTAGACGGGGGTTCAACTGCTGACAGGCTAGCCCAGAGGTACGTGATACCAGGTAAGCCTTCTTTACAATTTCAATGTCATACCGGTCCGCGTCGGCTTCAAATTCGTTACTATCTCCGCCAACCAGTCTTCGAACTTAGGGTTCTTGCCGTAAGTCAGGACAGGAGGATCAGGAACTTTCTCAGATTTGCCTTTGCTTTCTGGCTGCAAGGATCCCTGGCGAGAGTTGGTTCCAGATTCACGGCGGTTAAGCTGTTGGGCGGTGAAAGCGTTGCGATATGAGTCTTGTTCTTCACCAAGTTGGGCGATCTGGTAGTTCTTAACGGTCAGCTGACCGATCGTATTGGTAAGTTCTTTCTCTATCTCCGGGATGCGGGCTGCAGAGCCAGTGGGGTTCTGGGGGTTCTGGGGGTTCTGGGACTTCTTAAGGGAAGCAGTTTCTTTAAGATAGCTGCTCTCCTTTGCCATCAAGGCGTAGAAGCATTCAAGGATGTCGTCGTACAGTTTCTTTGGTGTCTCACGACAGCGTTTCAGTAAGTCCTCTGGTGAGAGCTCCTCAGGTTGGTTGGTTTTACCTGTGTTTAGGGACAGGCGTCGGTTCGTGTCGCACGCCTCGGCGACTGGGGGTTCAAGGGGTTCACCAATGGGATCAGGGAATTCAAGAGGATTGAGGATGAGAAAAGAATAGGGTAACGAGTAATGAAGCGATTCTAAAAGCTCGGCGATATCATTATCTTGAATACAAACAGAACAAACAGGTAACATATCAGGTGCCACCTCCCACTCCAGCGGCCTGTATAAGGATCGTGCCGTCACACTATTCATGTTTGGTAAAAACTTCGCTAGGACATTCAAAATACTAATTCATGCTCCTAAGAAGTGGTTTCTAGGTTTCAGTCATGATCTACGCCCCATCCTAATGCCTCCATCTCCTGTTTACTTCTTATCACGCATATATCCCCTGAACAATGATTGGCTGTTGGTTTGGCAGCCTTGCGGCTACACATAGCCAGCTACCCCTCCCTTTTCAACCTCAACATTTCAGGAATTCTACTATATATATTATAGATTGCTCCAGATATTCCCTTATATCCACGTGTAAATTGAGTACTCGAACCGGGTCATTAAATATTTCGCTACTTCCTACTGCTTAAGATACGTGGAAATGATCTTCTCACATAGTGATTATACAGTCGCCTGGATCTGCGCCTTGCCACTAGAAATGGCGGCCGCGAAGATTATGCTCGATGAGATCCACCCTTCACTCCGCCAGCCGAAATCCGACCACAATGTCTACACTCTCGGAAGCATTAGCAGCCACAATGTAGTGGTGGCCTGCCTGCCAGCTGGGGTTTACGGAACCACATCTGCCGCGATCGTACTCGCCCACATGCTGCCGACATTCCCCTCTCTTCAATTTGCGTTGATGGTGGGTATTGGAGGCGGCGTGCCCAGCAAAAAGGCCGACATTCGACTTGGTGATGTTGTCGTTAGTATGCCAACCCCGACCTCAGGAGGTGTGATTCAGTATGACTACGGCAAAACACTTCATGATGGACATTTCCAGCGAACAGGATCACTCAACAAGCCTCCTCAAGTTTTACTGGCGGCAGTATCCCAAATACGCAGTGATAATATGATTAAAAAGTTGTCAATCGGGGTAATTATATCAGATGTACTTCAAATATATGAAAATTGTCAGCAATTTTCTCACCCAGACCAAGATTGGCTTTTTAACTCAACATATGATCATCAGAGTCGCAGACCCAGTTGTTCAACCTGTGATCAGACCCAGTTGGTGCATCGTGCGCCGCGAGAGACTAATGAGCCTCATATTCATTATGGGCTAATCGCTTCGGGGAACCAAGTCATGAAGGATGCCAAGAGACGAGACCTCATTGCCCAGGACATAGATATTCTATGCTTTGAGATGGAGGCAGCTGGGCTCATGGACCAACTTCCATGCCTGGTGATTCGAGGAATTTGCGACTATTGTGACTCTCATAAGCACAAGCAATGGCAAGGGTATGCAGCTCTTACTGCAGCTGCTTATGCAAAATTGCTATTATCTGCAGTTCCTATCATTGACTATAAACCGCTACGAGAACAGAGTATGTGATTTTTAAACTATTAAACTACTGGGCTTACCACTACTAGGCGCTGAACTTACTGCTGAAGAAAAGGCATGCCTGCAGTGTTTGTTCATTACTGACCCAGTTGATGACAAAAATGCGCTCAAACGGAGAAAAGGAGAACGCGTCCCTGGTACTTGTGACTGGATCTTGGAGACAGATGAGCTGACTCACTGGCTTGGGCTTCATAAAAATATCTCTAAAATAAAGTCGAACATACTTTGGCTATATGGTCTCCCTGGGACTGGAAAATCGACTATGGCCATTACATTAACGGAGGAACTTCCAAATCAAACTGATTTTATCAATGGAAACAAGAGGCTCGCCTACTTTTTCTGTGATTCCAGCTCTAAAAATCAGCGGACCGCAACTGCCATTCTACGAGGGCTCCTTTATCAGTTAATCCAGAAGCATCGGCATTTGATGAAATACTTGCTTCCAAAATATATCGCTCGCAAGGGACAAATATTGACATCTTTTGATGCACTATGGTCAACCTTAATGGATATGGGCCAAGATAGCTCTAGTTCCGGCATCTATTGTATAATTGATGCTCTAGATGAATGTGAATACGAGGACCAGCAGACACTCCTTCGCCATCTTGACCAAACATTCAATAACTGCAATCCAAAGCGTCACTCATTGCCCAACCTATATTTCTTGATTACAAGTCGACAATATCCTGAGATTGAAGAGCGCCTAGCGCATTTCCCGTGTCAGAACCTGGCCAAGTACTCTGCAGTCGCAGATGACCTGAAAGCAATGATCCAGGAAAGGGTTAACAAGCTGAGTACGAGAAAGAAATACCCGAAAGCAGTAACCGCAGAGGTATCGCGAATCCTAGAAGAGAAGGCTGGTGGAACATTCCTATGGGTGGGCATTGCTTGTGATGAATTAGAGCAAGTTCAAGCGAGGAGCACTATAGGAGCATTACAAAATCTTCCGCGAGGGCTACATGCTCTGTATCAGAGACTACTTGAAACAGCTGTCGCCACTTCTTCCGAGAATGATAAGCCGATAATAATGGATTTAGTGAGCTTTGTTGCGATAGCACAACGGCCGCTAACCATCTCAGAATTGTCTGAAGCTTGTCAATTATACCTCGACGAAGATGAGGACAGCCGGTTACAGTTTACCAGAGACGTCATTAATTTGTGTCGCTTAATAATTGTTATTCAGGGTGAGCAGGTGAGGCTTCTTCACAAATCGGTCAGAGATTTTCTGGTGGAGGCAGCAAAAGTGAATGAGCTTAGGTCTCATGCTATACTAGCAAATCGGTGTATCACATATGTGATACGCTTCTGTCAGCTCCAGGTAAATAACAGTCCTGCAGAGCCAAGGAGCAAATTTCTGAAATACTCAGTACTCTGTTGGCCCGAACATGCTGGGCTAGCCCGGGAAGAGTTTTTGGTTAAACAGGAGCAGATAGAACTATTCCAGGTTAGGTCTCGTGCTTGGGAGGATTGGCTAGGCCACTATAACTCCCAACTAGATTTTTTGCCATCAAGTCGATTGGCTGCTGGATTCTCAATTTTCCATGCAGCAGCGCGGTGGAAAATTGATCCATTAATTTCATGGGCTATGCATACTTTTGTGGCTGATGTTTATATCGATTCTGATTTTAAAACTCTAGACGGTGTGACGCCATTGGAAGAAGCTGCAAGGTATGGAAACATTTGCGCTTTCGGTACACTACTGAAAGGAATGCCCATGGAGGTTGCTATTGAGGCAAGAGTGGTGAACGCTGCTGCAAGGAGTCCATATGGAAATGGAGTTATAAGACTACTGCTTGAGCAACGAGGAGACCAGGTCCAAATCACAGAAGACGTGGTCAAGGCTGCAGCAGGCAACTTATACCATGGAAAGGAAGTTATGGCACTCCTGCTGGAGCAACGGGGGGACCAGGTGCAAATCACTGAAGATATGGTCAAGGTTGCGGCAGGAAATAAAGGGGATGGAAAGGAAGTCATGGCGTTCCTGCTGGAGCAACGGGGGGACCAGGTGCAAATCACTGATGATGTGGTCAAAGCTGCGGCAGGGAATGAGGACAATGGAAAGGAAGTCATGGCACTCCTGCTGAAACAACGGGGAGACCAGGTGCAAATCACTGAAGATATGGTCAAGGTTGCGGCAGGAAATAAAGGGGATGGAAAGGAAATCATGGCGCTCCTGCTGGAGCAGCGAGGAGACCAGGTGCAAATCACTGAAGATGTGGTCAAAGCTGCGGCAGGGAATGAGGACAATGGAAAGGAGGTCATGGCACTCCTGCTGGAGCAGCGAGGAGATCAGGTGCAAATCACTGAAGACGTGGTCAAGGAGGCAGCGGGAAATAGGTAGAATGGAAAGGAAGTCATGGCACTCCTGCTTGAACAACGAGAAGACCAGGTGCAAATCACAGAAGATGTGGTCAAGGCTGCAGCAGGTAACTTATCTAAAGGAAAGGAAGTCATGGCGTTCCTGCTGGAGCAACTGGGGGACCAGGTGCAAATCACTGATAATGTGGTCAAGGCTGCAGCAGGTAACTTATCTAAAGGAAAGGAAGTCATGGCGCTCCTGCTGGAGCAACGAGGAGACCAGGTGCAAATCACTGAAGACGTGGTCAAGGAGGCAGCGGGAAATAAGTGGAATGGAAAGGAAGTCATGGTGCTACTGCTGGAGCAGCGAGGAGATCAGGTGCAAATCACTGAAGACGTGGTCAAGGCTGCAGCAGGTAACTTATCTAATGGAAAGGAAGTTATGGCACTTCTGCTGGAGCAGCGAGGAGACCAGGTGCAAATCACTGATAATGGGGTCAAGGAGGCAGCAGGTAACTTATCTAATGGAAAGGAAGTCATGGCACTCCTGCTGGAGCAGCGAGGAGACCAGGTGCAAATCACTGAAGATGTGGTCAAGGAGGCAGCGGGGAATAGATGGAATGGAAAGGAAGTCATGGCGCTCCTGCTGGAGCAACGGGGGGACCAGGTACAAATCACTGATGATGTGGTCAGGGCTGCGGCAGGAAATGGGGATAATGGAAAGGAAGTCATGGCACTCCTGCTGGATCAACGGGGAGAAAAGGTGCAAATTACAAAGGACATTTTCTTATCAGCTGCCTCTTGTGGGAATGAAGAGGTCCTTTACCTCTTAGCACACAAACTTAACCAAGTAAACTCTCCTCACTTGGTTAGGATAGCTCAACTCTACAAGGCAGCGGAGTCAGGTAATCTTGCAAAGCTCAGGCAACTCCTTTGCGAAGGCACTCCACCTGATACCCAAAATATCCGAGGAGTGACGCCACTCTGGATTGCTGCATCGAATGGGCAGGTAGAAATTGTCAACTTACTTCTCCAAACAAATCAAGTGAATGTCAACGCCAAATCCATTGCAGCAAGACCTCCCATATTCTGGGCTGCTGCTTGTGGCCATGCTAATGTTGTGCGACTTCTTTTAGGGGCACACGCCAATCCAAACATTGCTGACATCAATGGTGACACTCCATATGGCTTGGCTCAGAGGCATGGACATTGGGATATTATACGACTTCTAAGGAAATATTTGCCCGAAGTCTCTTAAGACCGGGAGAATTCCACTTGCCAGCAGGTGCCTAACGAACCGCATAATAAGAAAGACAATGTACCGACGGAACGACTTCAGGGCCCTTTTGAAGCAAAATGTGATTAACCTCAAGAAACCTCAGCAAGGCTCATAGAAGTACGCAGTATATTTATTTTTATCCAGATCTTCAATATTATATTGAATTATATTGATTATTACATTCGTACTTGGACGAAGTAGTATATGATTACTCATTCTATGATGGGTGCAATATGGTTATATTGACGTTTACCTAAATAAGTAATATCTCTTGCTACCTCTTCGCCTTGATCAAGAGCATCCAAGACACATATAACCTGGCCAGCATCGGGCATATTTGACGCCTGTGTGGAGGCAGCTACTATCCAACCACTTCAAAGCGCGTTGCCCAGGCCCCCGAGGAGGACCTGTAGCTACTCTGCTTGGAGACAATCCAGCCAGTGGTCGTGCCCCTACGGTGGGAGCCACCAGAAATCACTATCGCGAATACAAGAGAGGTGACTCAACAACACAACCATCTTCCCCAAACTGCTACAAAGGTCTACACTGATAGTAGCGGCTATAAGAAAGACATCGGCGCATTGGCCGTGTCCAGACACGAGAATTCCTATATCTACCGGTTAATAGGGAGACAAATATATACAGTATAACTACACAAGAGAACCAGTCCACCCTGATGTCTTACCAAGGAATCGGTTAGTGCGAATCAGCATGGCACTGGCATTAGCGATGCTGCCACCGGCGACTTTGTGATTCTATCTGACAGTCAAGCCACTATCATCGCCTGCGCCCAACCGGTGCGACAATCAGGCCAGTACATCATCCGCAGCATCCTTCAAGGGCTTGGCCAAACCACTAACCGCAGCGTACGCCTGCACTCACCCAAGCTCACCCGAGGTCGCGCGACCATAAAGCGGCTCACCCGCTAGCTCACCCGGGCGGCAGCCACCCGACTTCTGGCCGCGTTTAAGCCACACGCCGGCCGGTTAGTATTTGGGTGGGTGACCACCAGCCAATCCCGGCTGTTGTATGTTTTTTTGTTATTTTCATGTTTTCTACCCTCAATAGGGTTTACTCACTTTTATATTGAATCCTCTTTTCCTGTTCAGCCAGACCTGAAAACTGTTACTGATATAACTGTTTGTCTAGAGATCTCGTGCACTTGTCGTGTCACAGGCCCGTTCCAATCTCCCAACCAGGTTCCAGTCAATATAGTCAATACGGTCGATATAGTAGATATATATAAGATAAAGTGAATAAGCGATGTCCTAATTCTCCTTCTATAGAAGTTATTAAAGTAGATCCAGTGTCCCTGTATGTTTTAGTATTATGTGTTTCTTTCTCTTTTAGAATTACTCATCGCATTCCAGACTGAAATGTGTACATACAACCTTGGGAGTAATATCTATCAGATGGCGAATGTTTGTCCATTTTCGAGTCCCTGGCCCATCTCAGCCAACCGCCTACAGGCTAAATATCAGATGTCAGCAGTGGCAGCTCCCAACTTACCTATACTTACCTATATAAGCTCTAGGATAAATAGAAAAGAGAGAATAGGAAATACCTAAGATTTAGTATTATACTTATCTCCGGCCTATTTCTATGTTCTATCTATAGACTATATTATCGATTTTATTGATATTTATTATATACTGAGTTTGTCTTTTAATATAATATTAATTGCTTACCTATCTCTGTCCAAGATAGTACTCCTGTCAAAGGAGACTCGTTTATCGAAGTTAAACGGCCTCGTTAGTAACCATGAGAAACAGATCGAAGACCTACCTTTGTAAATTTGCTGCTATCAGATATTTATTAAAGTAGAAGATGCAGATTAGAGCGTAGATTAGCGGGAGAGCAAGCGTCGAACAAACCACTACGATGTCTTCTGCAAGGGCATTGACCTAGATGGTACGATGTTTCTATCAATGCGGGCCGGCTACTAAGAACACAAGTGTAGGATGCCATCTTCTTACTGTAGATCACAATCTCCACCGCAAACGAAGAAAACCTCTAGAGCCCTTTTTTATCCCGGCTGGGAGTTGCTAGACTACAGCCAATACTAGCCGCCGTGGCTCTAAAGCTCGAGTCACGATGCAGCGAGCACAAGGAGACGCACGAGATGATCAGACTAGATCACACTTTTGTAGCCTTTACTAGCAACATCATCGGCCGGATTTGTTCGATAATGGTACCGGCAGTCAATTCTTAGACCACCCTGATTTTGCACCAGATTGGTAGTCATTAAGCTGTGTTTCCTAGCCAGAGTTAGGTGTATCTAACGAACAGGCCAAGTTCAATTAGATTCATAAATCCTTGAAATTTCCCCTTTTCATTGGTTTTCCGGTGAGTTGCATTACTTTTACTTCGCCTTTCTTCGCTTGTCAGTATATCCACTTAACATGCCAATAATGTGCAACAGTATTGTAAACTACATCCCGGAGTCTATATTCTTTAAATACATTCCCCAAGGTGTGTCGCTTCATCATCTCACACTCTTTAGGTGCATAATGTGAACTAGCTTACTGGAACTGAAATACTACAATCCACCTAGCCCCCAAGAACATTGCCCTTATCACGAGGAACAAATGTGCCGCCAAATCTAACAACGACATCACCCATACCTCGCTTTTCAGCCATCATCAACAGTTAAATGCTAAAGTCCGAACGATCCTTGAGCCGCCTGGCTAAGAAAGCGCAGCTTCTCCTGGGCGCCGGAACAGCCACCACCGCCCGGACGATTAGTTTGGCCTCGTACTACATCCTCGCGAACCCGGAAATCAAGGCGAAACTACAAGTCGAGTTGAAGGACCCAATGGCGAATTGGAGAAGCTGGCTTATCTCCAAGCCATCATCAAGGAGTCTCTACGGTACTGTCTCCCCCCTCCCCCCTTCCAAACGGTATGATGCCAACAATGGAGAGAAAACAGAAACCTAATCCACGCAGATTAAGCTACGCTGCCATGCAACGCCTCCCCCCGGATCTCCCCCGACCTCCCAATCCAATACAAAAGGTTTACAATCCCAGCAGGCGTAAACCAATACCGCACACACCCACAATCCAATCCAATCCAATCCAGTATAAATTCTACTCTGGGATCCCCCAGACCCTTGTCGGCATGTCCGTCTACCTCATGCACTCAGATCCGTCCGTCTACCTCGATCCCAAAAGCTTTCTCCCCGACCGCTGGCTCGGCACCTTCCACCCATCTATGTACTGGAAATACGTCCCGTTCACCCACGGATCAAGGAGTTGTCTAGGCAGGGAATACGCTACGTTACATTACGCTATGTTCTGCTTTGCTCCTCCTCCCCCGTTCCCTTTCTAGACGAAACAGGCATTGTTATCGTTACACTCCGAGAGAGGAACTAACGCAAGAGGACACGCAGTCTATCCATAGCCGAGAAATCCCTTGTTTTGGCGGTGCTGTACCGGCCGAACGGGCCCGGGTTGGAGCTGTGCAAGGCGGATGAGACGGACGTTATCCATGTTCATGATTTTATGGCGCCGTTGCCGAAGTTGAGTACTGAGCGGGTGAGGGCTTTGGTATGGTGATCTTGTGGGTGGGTTGTATTGCTGGAATGTGTATACATACTGCCGTCAAATAACGGCAGTGGATGGGTGTTTGGGGTGGCAGAGAGTGATATTTTTGTATATTCTGAAACTAGTGCACTCGTTGCATTTGACTAATGTAGAGGAATACACTGCCGCAAAGAGAAGGAATGGCTGATACGCTGCAATTAGTACTCATTACATTCAACGAAGGTAAATATCACCGCTTACTGCTGATGCCCTCCGACATTGGTCTTTTTACTAATAGTAAGCTGTTGACGCAAAAAAGAGGAAATACAAAGCCATTTCTAGGACACAAAAATCCACAATAAACAAACTAGTTCATTGCGTCACATTAGAGAACGCACAGACATCACGGCGCTGTTCCCAGATGGTACACTATTCAATACTCCAGTCTAATACAATGACCTCCCAAAGATTTGTAAATCCAGGGTAAAAAGCGCCACCGCCACAGCCGCTGAGAGAAATCGCACTAGCGGAAGAGGCTGAGACCGAGATCCATTATAGATGAAGTACCCCACTAAGGGCTACCCATTGTTATATCCATAGTTATTAACGGTTATTACAAATAATAATGGACTTGGGTGCGAGATTTAATTAAAATTTAGTAAATGGAGCTCGGGGCTCACGTCGGGAGGATCATAATATAGTGTATTAAGATAGTTTATTCCGACTGTGGATTATTCAATACTATGCCAAGAGACTGACTGATAAGGGAAATAGATGAAATATGAATAGGGGGTTTTGCCGGTGGGTTCGCTGTGAAAGAGCCTATTGAGGTCTGATGTTGAATTAAGCGTAAAAGCCAAGTTTTTTGTTACTCGGCCGAAAGGGCTATGATGGAGAGTAAATTCTGGCACTGGGGCTTGAGAGGATATTAGACCCTTGAGCTACTGGACAAGGCGGTCCTCCTCTGTAGTGGCGTGGATTCATAATAGTCTAATTTCTTGTCCTGTGCTTTTACTGGACGTTTACTAGCCCATAATATACAAAAGGTACTGTGAGATGTTGATTGAATATGTTACTCGTCAAATGTACAGAGAAGAAACAGTGGCAGTGCCACGATATAAATCACAGATCCGGTGATGTAAAGCAAAAGAGGCCTCGAGGACCGTTACGCCTTCACTGGCTAATAGTACATGCCGGCTTAATGATCTAACTTGAACCGATCAAGGAACTTGAAAGTGCGAAGACCTTCCTTGATACCATCAACGAAACCACCAGTCACCGACCGGTCAACGTACACACCGTCACGAGAGGTCTGGATACCGGCGTTCCTGAGTGCAGCGGCACCACTGCCGACAGCACCGACGGGCTTTCCGAAGCGGAAGCCATCGATGACAATTTGAAGGGGCCGGCCGGCGGGGAACAGAGTGGACGAGGAGGTGGCGTTAGAGGGGGCAGTGAAGGAGAAAGTAGAGAATAGGCCCTCGGCACCAGGGGCAATGACGACAGCATCGAACTGGATGGCGTCCGAACCGGAGTAGGTCTGGTCAACACCATCGCCCAGGCGCTCCGCAACGACGACGACATCAACGCCGTCCTCGGAGAGCTGCTCGCTGAGCTGTGATGCGGCCTCAAGCGAGGCGGGAGTGTCGACCGAAGCCAGGAAGCCGACCTTGAGTCCGTCCAGCCTCTTCAGCTTCTGTCCAAAGGTACCCACATCAGTGGTCTTGTTGTTATGGTAATAGGTCGGGTCGGCCTCGGGCTCGTCGACGCCAATAGCACGGGCAACGCGACGGGCGAGGTCATTAGATACGCGGTTTAGCTGAATGATAACGTTGTTGCGTACAACCGAGCTCTTTACATTCGAGTTCTCAAAGCGCATGGCATCGACAACAAACTGCTGTTCGGCGGGCGTAAGCGAGTTGTAGAACAAACGCGGCTGCGACCAGACGTCCGCGAAAGACGGGCTGACAGCACGAGTGAAATGTCCAGTAGACTGGCGTCCTGGGGCCGTGAAGAAGCCCTTGCCCACGGTCTGGTTGGCCTGTTTGGGAGTGCCCGTGTTGAGAGAACTGGGGGTGTAGGCATTGGGATTGAGGGGAATGAACATCTGGCCTGTGAAGTCTTAGCACTGTTCGCTGATAGACATTATGAAAGGATCCTAAAAGACAACTTACCGGCTCCATCACGGTTGTTGTTGTGGACGGGAACACGAGGCTGGTTGATGGGCAGCTGTTCGAAGTTGGGTCCGCCGTGACGGTTCAGTTGAGTGTCGAGGTAGGAGAAGAGACGGCCCTGGAGGAGGGGATCCTCGGTAAAGTCAACGCCGCGGACGATATGGCCGGGTTGGAACTATAGGTTCGCATCAGTAATTAGCGGGGGAAACCGGCCGCAAATTGAGGGTTGCATACCATAACCTGCTCAGTCTCGGCAAAGTAGTTGCGAGGGTTGCGGTTCAGAGTCATCTTGCCCAGCTTCGTGATCGGCACATATTCTTCCGGGACAATCTTGGTAGGATCGAACAAGTCGAAGCCGAACTTAAGCTGGTCCTCCTCATCCATGATTTGAACACCGAGCTACAGAATTAGCACCCCTATGGATGGATGATTGAGAAGAGGGACTGAAGGACTCACCTCCCACTCGGGAAATCTTCCCGCCTCAATCGATTCGAAGAGATCCTGGCGCATGAAGTCGGGGTTCTTGCCAGATACCTGCTGCGCTTCTTCCCAGACCATACTGGCTTTACCCTGCAAGGACTTCCAGTGGAACTTGACGAGCTTGGTATCGCCCTTGTCGGTCACGAAACGGAAGGTATGAATACCAAAGCCGTCAACGTGCCGAAGGGAGCGTGGGATACCATGACCAGACATGGCCCAGAAAAGGGTGTGGAGGGAGCTGGGTTGCCGGCTGAAGAAATCCCAAGCAGAGTCATGGGCAGTAGCGGCCTGAGGGATCTCATTGTCACCACGAGGCTTGACAGCATGGATGAGATCGGGGAAGAGAATGGCATCCTGGATAAAGAAGACAGGGATATTGTTGCCAACGATATCTGCGGATAAGTTGTCAGTCGAGAGTTTCTAACCATCAAAAAAAAAAAAAATGAAAAAAGAAA